CAGCACACGAGGCATGGCGAACCAGGGTCCGGGGTGGTCCTCACCTGAATCCTGCTGCTGGATGCACGCGACCCAAGCCAACGTCGGCCACTCGTCGTTGACCTTGTTGACATAAATTTTGCTCCCACCGTTGCTGGCAGTTTGATATTGATAATACTAGCAAACTCTTCGACGTGGCCCCAGTTGCTGCTGCTTGGACGCAGATCCCTGTTCGAATTGTCGGCCATGAACCTCATATGCGCACGAGTTGTGTGTAATTGTTATATCGGCCATGATGTGCTGCTATGATTTTCCATTCAATCAGCATCCGAAACATGTGATGTCCTTCGCCTCCAATATATGGAGTATCTGGCTTTCACCATGCGTCGCTCCTTATTTCCATACGTTGATCCCATCAACTTCGGTTGACTGACTAATACTCCATTCAGACTCTTTTTTTGTCCGTACAGCTTCGCCTGACCCCTAGGTTGAAGATCCAAATTCCACTTGACTGCTCCTCGGCCTTGATATGCCTCTTGTGTCGATCTCAGACACCCAAACAAGCACTTCACTGTTAAGAAGCAGTGTGTGTTGCGTTTACAGATCACTGATGAGGACGAATTCGCTGTGAGCCGTACCGCCGCCTGTCGTACCGTGTTTCCGGTGGCAGCTTCAGGGTCTTACTGGGACGGGGGGAGTGGTGTGGAAGGGCCCCCAGGGATGACTAGAATCTGAAAACCATTCCATCTCATTCCTGTCAGGAAGACTTCTGTAACCTGTAACAGCCAGTATCAGCGCCTTGTTCAGAAGGCTTTATTGATGCTCGCCGCTAGTTAACCCCATGGCGCTGGTACGCTAGCGGTCTCAAGGCCGCTGGTTGGTGGTCCGGGATGGGCCAGAGCCGGTCATCTGAAGAACGATGCAACTTGTTTCGTCAGTGGTCCACGACGATGTCAAGTAATAATGACCATGGAAAGAAAGATTGACAGACTATCAAATAGCGGCCAATGATAGCTTGCCCTTTGTCTGTCATCAGCAAACGAAGACCACTAAAGGAGTATGGAAAAGGGGGGTTCATTGGACGATTCGATATTGTTGCTGATGAGAGGTTTTGATGATTCTCGTTTACTGGCAAGCGATAGGTGAGAATATCACAGTCACAAAATCTCATCCCATCTCAGGCAGGTAGCTCAACCTCACCTACCTTAGCCAGGGAAGTCAAAAATGCCATGCATGTACGGTAGGCAGGTGAGATCGGGGGCCTTCCTCAATGGGGCTCGGGTACATGGGTCGCCCTTGCCAAAGTTCGATTTATCCCATGGTTGGGAGAGGGCATTCCGAGGCAAAACCACCATCCTCACATCAAAGAAATCTTGGAGTGCCATGACTGCCTCGTGGCCATTGACATCGACCTTGGCTGCTTACTGGGCACCTCACCAAGTATACATACAATACCGCACGCACCTAAAAACACCGTAGCACCCAAGGCACCTCATTAATCTTCGGTGCATCCGCCAAAGGAACCCACTTTCAATGATACGTCCTGTCGTCTCCACCATCTCAACTCTCTCACACGCTGAAACTTGCCCCTCACTCGCACCAGAACCCCCAAACAACCTTAGGGCCCTGACGATCCTTTGATGGATACATCAGGATACAGCAAACCTCCATACCAACTACTATGATAAGAGCCACAAGGGCTTTAGACCGAGTCGATGGGAGAATGTCATCGCTACGAGGATGCTTGGCCGTGGACATTGACGGGGTCAAGAAGAGAGACTTGGAAACAGAGGAGTGTCCATTCGTCTTCATTGTATATGTTCTTGCGATTGTTTCGCACCGTCGTTTACAGTTGAGCCCCCCTCCTTTTAGCCCCGCTTACCGTGCACCAGATGGCAATACGTGGTAGTTTTGCTTTTATAAGAATATAAGTCAGAATAATAAGAGGAAGCTTGTGAATAATAGGCAGACGAAAACTACCTCCAATAGTCTTAGTGTGTAACAAGTAATCTTGTGGCTGCTTCAGCATGTGTATTATTTTTTATTATTTTTTTAAATAAAAAAATATCATGATCTTCATTATTTACACTCCCTCTTGTGATTTTCTGAAATGATCTGCATACGTTCTGACGTCCATCAATCATGTCTGGGGAAAAAGTCACCACTCACTGACAAAAATGACAAATCCTTTCCTCCAAGACTCAGAGTTGGGCGTGTTGAGAAACTCGACTGCAACCCTTCACTGCTGTCAAAAGTTTGTTACTGCAGAAATCAACCCGGAATGATCGATATGGTAACTGGATTTGAGTATTTTGGGGAAAGTTCAATTTCGTATCACAACATCCAATATCTGACCCCCGCCATATCACAGTGGTGAACATTCAAGAGTCTCACTTGCATCGACAGCGCTCCATTTCCGCCTTTATGACGACGTTCCTTGTATTATGCCCCCTGTCTCTGATCGGACCTCTCTCGTCTTGATCCTGATCTGACCAACCACTTGTGACAGACTCATCATTTTCATCGGCATCAAAAGTCCACATTCATTTTCTGATCTCCTGTACGCATACTGTACATGCGAATGAAGAAAGAAACTCTTCACATCAGAGTTGGGGTCACGACACGGAACCTTGGGCTATACGATTCATGGTACTTAGAAAGCAAGAGTCCCATACAATAAAAAGTTCAACGCCATGACCCTTGCGAGATGGAAAAAAAGGCGCCGCACATCTCCCGCCGCCAACGCCTCAGGTGGCTTTTGGTTGCTTTAGCCAGAAAGTAGCTAGCCACGGAGGCTTTTAACCCATCCGCTAGAATGGCTTCTTAAAGACTTAATCGGGTTTCTCTCCCTTCCTACTTTCGCTTCTGCCTCGCCTTCAGTATCCCGTTCCTGTTTCTCAGGGCTATGCCCGCTGTAACTCTGGGCGATTGCGATTCTCATTCAGTAGCGGCTGTGTTGGGACTGAGTCGTTCGTTCGTCGAACCTCATCTCACCTGAGACGTTGTCTCAGGTTAGCAGCTTTGTGGAGGGTTTCCTCCACCTGCGCTGACACCACACACCTCACGCTACTGCAACGCAACGCCGCACAAGTGCCCAATTCGTTCTGCAGCCACCCTCTTCTGGGCGCCGTCGTTTGCACATGTTTCGAATTGTCCATGGAATGGCCTTTGATTGGTTCACCACTGTTACCCTCAAACATGATCAGAGCTAATCCGTGTCAATACCTTATGTGGTTTAGCCATCACCTCAACTGATTTCTCCACTGTACGGAGTACGTACTTGTCATCTTCTGCCCTGTCTTGCTTATGTCAGGCGGCTGAAGGGCTGTATGGTTCTCTCGTGAGGTTATTTCGACAACCAGGCGAGGGTGTAAGGATCACAGAGTTAATGTGGACCTTGGAGAATCACCAGGAGTTGCTATTTAAGACATTATTGTTTGTGTTATATTACGAGTTACAAGCGATATACTGGGGGATCCTTGGGGCTCGTGGAAACAAATTGCCGATATCACAAGGTTCTTTGAGCTGGAACTATGTGTTTGCGTGGGTATTACTTCTATGCGAGCACGGACGATGTCAATTTGGTATTGACTACCGATGCAACGCAGATGATGCTGTTACTATGTGAGTTACGGTAAACAGGCTGTGCCTGCGTCCTTGCATATATAAGTGTATTGTAAGTCGCGAAGCTTCATGCGCTCTCGGTGTGAAGCGGTGCTCAACCGAAAGTGCGGACTTTCACCATATCGCTCTAAAAGTGTTGATGAACGAGCATAGGCAGCATCAGCCCTTTCTTTAGTCCTCCCGATCTACCCAGGGCGACCTATATTTGGCATGTCTACCTTCTAGTAATCTCTTGTTGTTCGCAGTACTTAATGTCTGATAGTTGAGGCTTGTGTGTAGCGTAGGATCGATGCACGATACAATAGACTATGTATACTATGAATGACATCGGCAGCTTACATTTATATCACTTAGTAGACTGAATGGGATACTTGGAGAAGGGGAAGAAGGATATTGTAACCTCGTTACGGTGATTTCCGTATGCAAATCACGGTCTGTGTGGTCAAATGTGCGCTGAACACACGCTCCTTCTGATGTCCTGTCCTAATGGCACAAGATGACCATGACTAGTCGACTCCTGGCAAGAATTTATAGTTCGGAAACATGCATACAATTTATAGTCACTATATAAACAATTTACTACCATGATGAGAATGTGGTTAGAGTTACCATTAATACAGGGTAGGCTAATTAGAGCACTGACATTAATCTAACAGATACACCTGACTGAATGTGCAATGCAGTTGTAATATGGTTAGTGCTCGGTGTTATACCATTAAAGTAGCAATGGACAGAAATGGAGATCATCGCATAATCACTCAACTTGCTTATGTTGAGAATCGTCGTACAATGAAACCCATGGCCATGGCATCAACAATGTGTGCCGATCAGACCGCAAACTAAGTACGATATTTAATATCCGTAAAATTAGACGTTACACCCTAAGTAGGTACTATGTAGTTCTAAGGGAGTATCAGCGAATCTTGTACGACCTGAGGTACTTGTCTTGGTAGTTTAGAAGGACCAGCCTGGAAAAGGTTAAGAAAGGTACTGTCAAGTCGAATCTACATCAGTAACGGTTCGGTTCTTTTAACTCGACATCTCACAGATTCAGGGTAGGACATAAATTTACTAATACTCTATTTATACGGAGTATACTTCGTAAGATACTCATCTTCCTATCGAGTTATGCCAAACAGAAGTACGATGAATAACTGCACAAAACAAACTCAAGCTGAGCCAATCAGGAGACAAGATTCAATTCGAAATCAAGATGCCCCACGTTGCGCCACACCTGAGCCTCACCAAAAATTTCGAAGAAACAATTCTCAGTAAAAGAGACGGCTTGATATCTCTTTTAATCACAGCAGATCCATACATTCAAACCGAAGCGCAAAAGGAATCCGGATAAGAAAGGGTTCCCGCCGCTTACAATTTTGCTCCTCACAAACGACAAAATGCCTGCGCGAACTAAGAAGGAAGAGCAGCCACAGGCTGAGGATACCAACATGGAGGACGCCCCAGCCTCCGCGCAGCCTGAGGTGAATGACGAGAATGTCGAGGATGAGGAAGAAGAGGAGGAAATTGAGCCCCAGAGAGTCCGAATCGTAAGCACACAAAGCGTGATGACACAGCATGGTATTGGCTGACACATCACTAGCTTCCTGGCTCAACAGATACTGCTGCCTCCTTTGAGTTCACTGATGAAGGCCATACACTTGGCAACGCCTTGAGATATATCATCATGAAAAAGTTCGTATTCCTAGCATGTCCTACGAAGCCCAGCTAACAAGTGACAGTCCCGATGTTGAATTCTGCGCCTACTCTATCCCCCATCCCTCAGAGCCCAAGATGAACATCCGTATTCAGACTTATAGTACGTATACGCAATGCTCCACGGTTCTGCACTTATTAACAAGTATTCAGGCGGAACTGCAGTCGATGCCCTGAAGAAGGGCTTGGTTGACATTCAAGAAGTATGTGATGTAGTCGCCGATGAGTTCTGGACCAAGAGGGAGGCCTACAACGCAGAGCAGGGCATTGGTCGATGAGCCTGAATTTGTGTGCTCAGGATTTAAAAGTGTTTGCATTCACATGGACTATGATGGAAATAGAGGCGTTTTGAGGAATCCCTTTCAATAAGATATATACACAAGCCCTTGTTGCTAGTTGCGACCCTATGCACCCTGTTAGCCTCATCCTCCACAGAGCCCATAGCTCGATGCTCACCTCAAGGAAGCCAGTCATAAAGCTGGATGGCAGTCGCTTGTCGCCTCGGAAGTTCTCCTCCTTGAAGTAGGCCATGATGTGATTGGTCTGCTTCCAGAAGTTCATGGTTTCCTGTAGTCATGAGTTCAGCATAAAAACCCCGTGTATCAATTCGTTCCAGCCATGGAGTTCGAGCGCACCTGGTACTCGGCGTGGGACTTGAAAAGAAGAACATCTACAACAGAGAGCTTGTTCACAAATCGTTGTCGTTCGAATTCTTGACGCATACGGGTTCGGATGGCCGAGACGGGCATGGGCATGTTGTACATGGTTTGGACTTCGGGGGCCTATATATCGCTGATCAGCAGCTGGTCGGTCGCAAATCCACCACCCAAACTTCATGGAAGACCATATGAGGACTGGGAATATCGTGACCCAAGCGAAGGCGTCTTGGGTTTCGTAAAACATACAGCTCGAATCCATTCTCGGTAGGAGGATAGCACTCGACGCTTGGCATCGGACCAATTGGCCGCTGTTCAGGGCATCAGTAATGTTAAAAAAGCAGTTGAATACACCAAGACTCACACTGCGCCGTCTTCTTAGCAAATTGGGTCGGCGTAACGGCCATGGTGGGCAATCAATGCTCTCTGAACGTCGGAAACCAATCTGCTCTGACGTTTCCCAGATTCCCGAAGCCGAGAGGCACGAAAGCACCACGGTGATGCGGTCACGTGAATACAAGCCACACACTAAGCACCGCCACGAAGCCTATCTTCCACTCATAGGTCTGCTTTTCGTCAGCGGCGGGCACTGGAGAAAGATGCCTGAAGCCTACTTAAGTACCTGGGTACAGAAAACTAATCATCAGGAAAACTGAGTAATTGACTGCATAAAGAGCCTTGTTGTGCATTGGTACAATTTTATTTACAAGTGCTTATTAGGAGAGGAGAATAAAGAGTCGTTGAATTCTTTGCTCCTAGTTTGTTGCCTATCGTGTCTAATGGCTCTCTAACAGCTGAGGTTGGCCGACGGCCCGGAAAAAGAATAGCCCTAACACATCATGGAATCTCGTTTATACCTGGTATGGGAAGATTTGGAAAGGGAAAGAAGAAGAACTGTTATATTATTTTAAGTAACTAAATATAATCTGTCCTTCATTTCTTATTTAGGGACATTGCTGGTGTCGGATCTCAGTCACCTCCACTATCGCTTCGGCAGTGGAGGCTAAGTCAGTTTAGCTAGCAACGCAACCTTACCTTAGGCGTAGTATCTTTTTCTAACGTCATTTCTCGTTGCACCAGGAACACAACCTCAAAACAACAACAAATAATACAACAATCCAACGCAAAAACCAAGATGCCCGCTATTCGACACTCGTCCAAGCGAAAACCCCCGCCTGATGGCTTTGAGGATATTGAGAATGACTTGCTCATCTTCTCCAACAAGATGAAGGATGCCCAGAACAAGCCGCCGCCATCAGGTCCCAGGCACCAAGCGCAGTGGGAAATCTTCCAGATCTCGCATCAACGCAGTCGATACGTATATGAGCTATATTACGAGAAGGAAGCGATCAGCAAGAAGCTGTACGACTGGTTGCTGAAGAACGGCTACGCGGACGCGATGTTGATCGCGAAGTGGAAGAAGCAAGGATATGAGAAGGTTAGTGTTCCATCCACCATTTGTCTTATTAGGCATACATGCTGACCCTGTCTAGCTATGCTGCCTGCGCTGCATTCAAACAAAGGAGACAAATTTCAACAGCACATGCATCTGCCGTGTTCCACGACCGGAGATGAAGGGTGACGAAGACATTGAGTGCGTCAGCTGCGGTTGCAGAGGCTGCGCATCAAGCGACTAGACACGACAAGCTCGACTATGAAGGCGACCTAGATGGAAGAAACACCTGCAAGTTCGAAGGAAGAGACGGCGTTGGGCGTATTAATAATTCATCAACACGCATGGTTAACGATTTGAGGCAAAAGCGATACATATCGACGCGATGAGGTAGAAAATCCTTTCATTGACCACACCATGTATTCATAACAACGTGCTGATACTCCTACCCAGTTGGAAGCTTCATCTTTACTTCATCTTTTGGAAAAGCCTGCTCTTCCACGTCCAAACCGGACACTCGGTGGGACAAAGGACAGCGATGACATGGCACCTGTAAGATCTACCATCTCTGTGTCCACGGGCTTGTCCTTTTCCTGCTTCTTTTCCACATTCTGCAACGCTGGTGACTTTAGTGACTCTTTTGATTTGTCTTCCGGCTGTAAAGAGACATTCTCGCCCTCCATGAGACTAGCGCGACGTCGAGAGTTCTTGATAGCTTGCGAGTTGGTCGATGACCGGCGGCGATGGTGACTGCCATCATTTAGCAGGGACCGCCTACCGTCAATGCCGTCTCTTGTGACGGCGAAGAAGAAGTTCTTTGGATACATGTGCTTGTCGATGAGATGCATACGCCTCTTCTGATACGTCATGCACTTACGCTCACATCCCTCGACAAAGCACGAGTACTGCAGCACACGGGTCAGTTGCAGACTCGTAGCGGTTGATGACAACCAGGTCATGGGACTTACAGTATGCTCGCCTTGTTCCCGCTTGACAGTTACTAAAGGGTCGTGGTATTCTTCAATATGGACGTTGAGCAGATGTTCGCTGGGGAAGTTCTTGTGGCATTCAAGACACCTGTTAGTATGAGACTTGTTGTAATGGACCTCGTATTCGTCGTAGGACCTGAAGGCCAGGGGCTCCCTGTGCGGAGGCAAGTTGCATCTCATGGCTATTGTATTCTCTTCGTCGTCGATAGCAGATTCAAGCTGAGTCACTTTTGATACTGGACGTAGGGACGGTTCCGGTTTTGTCTGTTCAGAATCGGAATCTAGCTCTTCTTCGAGCTCTCGTGAGCGCTTCATCCTTTGTTGTGAGCTTGATTGGAAAGGTAGAATTACTTGAGAGCTGTGTCCAGAGGATGCAAAGCGGTGAGTACAGGGTAGTGAGTCTTTAAGAGCTGGTGATGCTGTTATAGATTGTCGAGACGAACTGGCAATGTGCCTATGCTCTCGCTGGGCGCAGTATAAGTCAACTTGACAGGTATCTAGGTAGGTATGGATAAATTCCATATGATGATATTGCCAACTGTTGTGACATGTACTAAAGGTCCTATATCCATTTGGAGGTGAGTGGCAGCTTATCCAGTGATATGTGGTGGGGTCTACCTTGTCAGGCGCTAAACCAGTTGACGAACTGGATGCCCTGGGTGAGGGGCAACTTTTACAGCCCCAGCAATGAATAAATGGTTTACTAGGCCTCACAATCTAGTTGGAAGCCGGTACTGGGAGCACGGGCCTTTCTTTGAGGTTTAGGTTAGTAAAATCTATTGAATCATCATGAACACAGGCTAACAGTTTGCCTTGTACAGTAATATCGATTTTTTATTGTTTATTGCCAGAGTACATGGTACTATTGAATTTGCACACTTCAATGTTGATCGCGTAAACCAACAGAAGAGTTAAATTCTAAATGGACAAAATACTTAGGACTGTAAGATCTTGCGGTATATGATATTGAGATTTACGTAGACTTTAAGAAGATACAGCGAGCCATATGTAGTCATTGGTTGGAATAGCCCGCAGAAAGCTACTCTCGTGATTGATAAGGTAGTTATGCGTTCACTGTTGAAGCTTGAGGCGAGAACGATGTCATACTACCTTACGTACTTAAGTAAGGTACCTTAGGTAAGGCATGTATTTCCAGGGGTCCAAATGAGATCCGCCACAGCGAGTAAAACGTGAGGTTAGTAGGCACTCGTTCGAATCTATCCAATCCGAAGTAACCAACAGGGCAATAAGACACAAGCACCACCACTGACTGGGCTCCAAAATCTTGTGCCTTGGAAAGACTGCCCAGCCTGACCTGACCTGACCTGACCTGACCTGACTTGACCTGAACCTTACCTTGAGGGGTTCGGTTCATTCAACTTCTCATCACTCCGAGGTGTCACAGTGATACTTTTCTCCCCCTTCTCTTCCAACTTACGTTCACTAAAGTTACGCTTGGGTCTGCAGCGCAATTAACAACAGACCTGCAGTATAACTCGGTCGATTATTATTGCGCGTGTTTACTTTGCTTTGCCTTATTTTACTTTACCGTATACTTTACTTTACCCTTCTCTTCCAACTTACTTAACCCGCCCCTCCCTCCATCTCTTCGCCAATGTGTGTCTTCTCGGCCAACGATTCCATTTTCGCGAGCCGAGTCTGGTGCCAGTGCCAAACCTCAATCTCAACCCAACGACCCGATCTGCGAATGAGTTATGGACCGAAAGCCTTTCCATGATCCCATACCAAAGAAAGCATGAACGAGTCGATTTTCAGTTCGATACCGACGCTCTAGAATTGTGCCGCGACACCTTTCGTCCTGCCCTTTACCCCTGCGCATCCGTGTCCGCCTGCGTCAACCTCGAGTCCACAAGGTTTACGTCCCGATCCTACCGACTCCGCGATCATGGAATCCGAGACCGCGACGTCGACCGTCCAGGCCGCAAAACCGGAGCATACGGATCTCTCTGGTAAGGCCAGACAAACGTGGCGGTAAGTTGGATGTCCTCACTCACACGATACATGTGAAAGAGCCATTCAGTCATTGATTTGCCTCGTGTGACTATACCCCGCCAAAAAAAAAAAAAAAAAAGAAAAAAAAGAAAGAAAGAAAGAAAACAACCATGATTTCATCGGCTTGCGCAAACACCACATACTGATTGCTTGCCCATACCCAGTTAGCACACAGAAGCTGACATTCTCTAGCTCGGCAGTCAAACTGCGAAAGCAACTGACAAAGCACATGGAAAAGCTTCCAAAAGATAACAACTCTGGCGTTGACATCTCCCAGTTCGAGACGATGGATACGGTTCTGGATAAGTGAGGAAGACCGCATGCGGCTTGCTGCGCTCATGAGGCTAATTCATAATCCCCATCAAACAGATTCCGCCTTGCCTGTGTGCAAACCATCTATCTCGACTTTGAGTATGCTGTCGCCGAGCGTACCGACCAAACTATGTGGTTGGTGCATACTAGTATCAACAACGAATATCGACGAGCCCTGGTTCGCCTCCGACACCTGGCGCAAAATTCGGACAAGCAAAGGACCGATAAGATGGCCAACGAAAAGCGCAATGGTGACAAGGACAAGAACAAGGGAGAGAAACAAACCACCCCAAAGCAGAAGGGTGACAAGCGCAATGTGGAGCGACGGAAGTTTGGGGACAAGTATCTGGGCTTTCTTCATGTTGCTCAGGAGTTCTACAAGGGATATGTCCAGCGCCTCTCTGCACGATACGACATCCCTGAGTTAAAACGCATTGCTCAAGGCGTCGAGGCTGACGGATCCCCCAGCAGCGATGTCATCAGTCCTGTTCCCGATTCGATCTATCCAATGGTCATCAGCTCTTGTCACTTCACTCTCATCTGTCTCGGCGACCTGGCGCGCTATCAGGTTCAGTCAGGCCTGAAAAAATCGAGCTACAAGATCGCACTGGCCTATTACAGTCTTGCTCACGATCTGAAACCCGATTCCGGTTTCCCGTTCCACCAGATGGGCATGATTAGCCTCGAGGAAGGCAAAGATTTAGATATCCTCTACTACTTTTACCGGAGCATCGCAACTGCCGATCCTCATCCCAATGTGAAGCAGAATCTTGAGTCCAAGTTCAAGGGCTATTTCCAGCCGGATAAGAACCCGCCTAAGAAGCAAGCACGTGGACCGAGCGATGCATTCGTCACCTGGTTTACCAAGCTTCATGCTTCCTACTACAGGGACGAGACCATGGCAGGCAGCGGAGAGCTTGAAAGGGAAGTCCTTCATCGGCTTGATATGGCTTCTAAGAACCCCGACTATTCTGAGGTTCTATTCAGGATGTCCCTGATCAACATGTCGAGCTACTTCATCGCCACTCAGAAATATACCGGTAGGTCTGCTGGTCATATAATGCTTTACTGTAATTTCTAATACAAAATAGAGGCACAGACACAGGCAGCTTCACGCTTTTGTCACCATACCTTGCGCATCAACGCTCAATTTATTCTTGCATTTTGCTCGGCACTCATCTCTGAGCTCACCAATATTGTCGGCCGCGAGAATCCTGCTTCCGAGGACCCAGCAACGGCCAAATCATCCCCCGTGATCGAGGCACTTCTACCTCTGCTTCGTATATATGGCATGTGGCTGGCTGCACGCCGTCAGGAAATATTCGCGGCTGGTAAAGCTCTTGGCACCGTACTGCCAGATATGATGAAGGCCATCTCAAAGGTCCTCTCATTGCTATGCAACGAGACATATACCCAGGAAAACCTGGCCTCATGCCCATATCTTCTCGCGGAGGATGTTCAGACTCAAGGTCTGCTCCCCCTTGCTCCGGACCAGGTTCCTCAGGCTTGCCGATCGTACTTTTCTGAGAGCGGCGGCTTGAAGCCAAGACTGTCATTCCGAGAGAGACGACTCGGCCCTTTCCAGGAGACACTGGCAAGAATCTTGGACATACTGCGATGCGCCTACTTCCTGGCTGAGGACAACTTGTGCCCTCTTGCCGTCCACGTCTCCGAGAAAGGCCTTGTTTTTGAGTACAAGGAAGTGCCTATCGCGAACGAAGATACTTCCCAGCCGATGTCGATTGTGAATTCTCCCGTGGGGGAAATCAAGAGCAACACCAGGACCGCAAGTCGACATCGCACCGTCTCGGAGAACTCACAAACAGAGAACCGACTTGCGTCCAAGGTGGACACGAGGAGGTCTTTTGTTACATCTATTGAGACACAGCCTCCCCATGAGCAGTCTGTACCTGACGATGCTGATAACACTGTTATCAACATGCTTGCTCCTTTCCTTAGGCCCCCTACCCCTGAGCAGGCCCAGTCTGGTCCCCGCTTCACTGATGAGACCTCATACGGAATGCACAGCATAACTGCGAACGAGGTCTTCGGGATGCTTCAGGCCGACACTAGCCCTACCACAGGCTCCATGCCTGCTGGCAAGTTTGAACCTCTTCCCTGGGACTGGGTCTACACCCCTACACCTCACAAGGGTAACGATGCCTCGGTCTCATACAAGGATGCTTTCGAAGCTCCCATTAGTCCCAACTTTTCTGCACGGAAAATGTCACGAACTGTCAGCACATTCGAGGACCCCTTCACCAATCCTACCCCTCAGCTACCAACCATGCCGACTCCCCGAGCTGGCAGTGGCATGGTGGCAAGTCCTCGTGTTAGCTCAGCTGCCGAAGAGGCCCATCGCAACAACTTGCTTCAAACTTTCAGTAGCTCTAGCGCCCCTCGTACTTCGGTGTCCAGCCAATGGGGTCAGAATCACAACCGCACGTCCACTGAGACAGCAACTCAATCATATGGTCATCACCAAGCCCCGAACGGCTACGCTACATCTCCCTCTTTGTCTGCGTTCTCCCACCCAAGCAGCTTGTATCAAGGCACACCTGCTAATGGGGCTACTTTCGGCATGCCGACTGGAGCTGGCTATATGGACATGAGCCGCTACGATCGAAATCGCATTCAGGACCCTGCACCATCCTCGTCAGGCCGACGTTTCCAGATGGATGAAACGACATCCAGTTATGATGCCGCCATCCTGCAGGCTGCCTTTTACGGCAATAAGTAGAAGCATGGGCTGTTCTTGTATGTGATCTTATCTAGTCGCCGCCGTGGAACTTTGGGTATCCCAATCTGCGCAATCTTTAGTCGAGTGTTGCGCTTTTACAAACGTCTCGTTCCTGGTTTAGACCACTCGGGACGGAATATGATTGATTGCATAGTCGACAGTTCGCTATAAAGCACCTGCACATGTCCCAGCATGGAGTACTGGTCTTTGGGAATCCGTCAGCTTTCGAAGATGCCGACGACATAATGAATCAGTTTTACAGGTGCAATGTCGCCTGGCTTACCTGATCTGCTCTATGTCATTGGATCTCGTGCGATAGCTGATGAGTTTGCTCGCCAACCGGTTCAAAATTAGTCGGTATTCATCCAGTCTGGTGGTATAGACACCGTTCGTCGGTGCAAGATCTTGGGTTTTAAAGCAACAAGTCATTCATTTTATATTCACTCGGATAATATGCTTGGCAAATACTCGATATCGTGGAGGATACCATGCCGCTCAATGCGCTTGGGAGCCCTCAGTTTGGGGTATATTCTCCCTTTGGATGTAAACGCCGTTGTTGAAACCGTTTCCCTTTTCCCCAGCAACGCCGAACCACATTCAATCATTCAAGAAGGATGTGCAATATGAGTTGTTAATAGATTTAAGCAGCCTGGTAGGTTTGCTTGGGGAAGGGGTATCTGCACGAGAGTTAGTTGAGGTTTGTTATCATGTTACTGGGATTGGTGCCCTGGTAAAGGAGCTATTGCTGTTGATAGGAAAGATAGGTAGAGGAATGAAGCAGTAAATTTTGGGAAGACAACTTGGCAGTAATGGTGCACGGGGGTGAACTTACGAAGGTCCAAGCTCCTGGATGCTCAAACGAGCGAGCCACTGGCCCATGTCAATGCTGGTTTCGAGGGGCTTGTTCTGGAGGATACCAGCCAGGAGACCACCAGCAAAGGCGTCACCAGCACCGTTGGTGTCGTTGATCTTCTCCTTCTCGATAGCATGAACGGGGAACTCCTTAATGTCGTCCTCACCCTGGATAGCAACCAGAGTAGGGTCGGTACCCTGAGTGACGATGGCAACTCGCTTTCTCTTGGCATTTTCCTTGGGAAGGTTGGCGAGGTGCTTGACAACATCCTTGGGCTCCTTGCTAGGGAGGTCGTGGGACTCGGCGTAGGCGGCGGCCTCGGTCTCGTTACCGATGATGTAGTCCCAGTAAGGGGCGCTGGCATCAACAACCTCCTTGAAGAATTGGGGGATGAAAGGAGCAGACAGGGAGAGAACAAAAGGCTTGTTGTGCTCAGCAGCCTGCTTGGCGAGCTCCATAATGGCGGGAGGGCAGACTGATGTGGGTTAGCATTGACATAGTATTTGTGACGTTCGTGGCCGAGCTCGTACCAGTGAAGTGGAAGCCACCAACGTAGTAGACCTCAGCGTTCTCAACGAGCTTCCAGATCTCGGGCTTCTTCAAGTGGTCGAGATCGTAGTGGTTAGCAGCACCAAGATCTGTGCACAAGCTTCGGTTGTGGCCAGTGATGATAGCACCACACCGGCCAGTCTTCTCCTTGGGGTCGACACGGTACTCAACACGGAGACCAGCGGCCTTGACAGCATCGTGAAGGATAGCAGCATACTTGTCATCACCAGCACCACCGAGGTAGACGACACTGTTAGGAGGGAGGATGTACTGAGCACCTCGAGCACTGTTTTGGGCAGCGCCTCCAGCAATCAGCTTGGCATCGTAGTTGTTTAGGAGGTCTTCGTAAAGAGGGAGATGCTTCTCCTCTGCAAGGATGGCGTCGTTAGGCTTGAGGCCATACTTGTCAAGAAGGGCCTGGTCACCCTTGGCCTGGATGTCTGTATAGAACAAAAAGTGCCTGTCAGCAAGTGATCAAAATGGAGCAAATGGACGTAAGCGGGTAAAGCATCTGGTTGCAATTGAGGGGCATTGAGAGTTATTTCTGCTGGAATTGAAACGCAACTCACCGAGGAGAGGGTTCTCGAGACAAAGAAGAGAGTATTCTTTAACGGCAGACATCGTGCTTAACTGTCTTGTCTGGAAACGAAAACGAGATGATATAGATGAGGATAAAAAAGTAGATGAAGCTTCGGAGGGGAAGAGTTTGAGGTGAATGGAGGGGTCAAACGTCTTGGTCTTAGTGGGGTAGAAACATGGGGCGTGTTCATTCGGCAACCGAAAAGGAGCGATGCTGGAGAAGCTGCGAGTACACGTGCGGCGGCAGCTGGGAAGGAGGGTAGGAAGTTCAAATCGGAGAGTCGAAGATGGTCTTGCCAACATTTTTGCGTTGATTACGTGCCCGAATAGTAATTTAGAGGCCGAAATATCTAAACGATGAGAGTTTGTACTGTCAAAGTTACAAGTTCATGATCGACTAGAGAGCTCTTTGCTTAATATGAATGAATTCAATCAGCCATCATACGATCCAGATCTGGTTACCTCATCACAATCCGCATCATGATCCGGTGACCTCGCCGATACCTTGATTACCGAAAATCCCATGGCATATTAACTCGGTACTTGAGAGAGCATCGATATCACACAATGGAAAAAGACATTCCAATGAAGCGATATGATTGATGACGAGAAGCTGAGCTCATATCACTTTCATAACGAAAAACCTGATGTACATGATTGGACACACTCGCTGAATGGACATTATTTTAACCAAGCATGCTTCTCTCATGGAAGCCTTTTTTTGGTATTCGTGGTATCTCACTTCTTCGCTCACATCTTTCACAGAGAAACGGCCTTCAGATTTTTTTTTGCGCCAAATGCCATAGTACTTGCCCTCGGAGCTACCAGCCATCTGCTCTCGGCAGTACCTTCAATAGATGCAAGCAAGCCAGTAAACACCATCCCAATGAGACCATGAACCCAGCCACCACTTTACTCCTTTGTCTTCTGGGTACCACGGAGGAGACCCGTCCTTCTGGCGGCAATAAGACCGGCCTTTTGACCCTGGGCGGCGTATCGGGAGATGGTAGAAGCCTTACCAATATGTTGATGGTTACCCTGTGTCCATTGTCAGTTCTTCTGTCTCCATCACATAAATTCTGAAAATACGTACACCACCGTGAGGATGGTCGACGGGGTTCATGGCAACACCACGAGTCTTGGGCCAGCTGTTGCGCTTGACAGCGAACTTGTGCTTGGCACGAGAAGCCTCTGCGAGAGGTGTCAGTAATCCAATGTCTTATTCCGTTATCCTCTGAGAAAACATACTGAGGAGAGGCTTATCAGTTCGGCCACCGCCAGCGACGATACCGATCATTCCTCGGGAGCCGGAGTGGACGACCTTCTTGGCACCGGAGGGGAGCTTGATGCGGGTCTTGCCCTCATCAGGGTTGTGGCCGACAATGGTGATGTAGTTGCCGGAAGTGCGGCCGAGAGTGCCACGGTCACCGATCTTCTCCTCGACGTTGGAGACGACGGTACCCTCAGGCATCTCACCTAGGGGAAGGACGTTGCCGACGGTGAGAGCAGCCTTCTTTCCGGCGTAGATGAACTGGCCAGTGTACATGCCCTCGTTGGCGATGAAGGTCTCGGTGACCTGCTTGAATCGGTAGGGGTGGCGGAAGACGACCTTGGCGAGAGGGGCACCACGACCTGCGCAGACAATCATCGTTAGTTGTCGTTCCTCCATCATTGCATTTATACACAATTGTGCAATTTCCGTCAAAAAATTATCGGGAAGCTCATCGTTCGGGAAACTTGCCAGCATCGTGGACGATCTCGCGGACTACACCTCGAAGGTAGCCATGGCGCTCGGCATAGTCGAGGTTGCGGAACTTAGCAGGAGCCTTGTTCAGGCGCGTGTTGGCCGCTACTAGGCGTCAGTATTTTGATGTTTTCGATGTCGTGGAGAGGCTCGTTCGGTACTGACTGAAGATGGATCCACGACCCTTACGCTGGTTGCGAATAACTCTACCCATGGCGGCTCTTCTTCACGGTGTGAAAAGGAAAGGGTAGTCTGTGAAGCTGCGGGTTAGTATGAAAGATCGTGGGCGAGGAAGAAAGGAAGGGGAGGGGATATTTACCTGGCGATGGCCGCTTGGTGTGTTGTCAGAAAGGCTCGCGCTACTAATTTTGTGCGTCGTTCTTTCTCAGTTCACGGTGGACATCTGGTCACGTGGTAGGGCTCGATTGCTCTTTCCAATTTTCATTCTCAACTCGAATGTGGGGTCCCTGGTTAGGTACCTTACCTGAAGGCATGCTAGCAGGTACAATTCACTGTACCGCTCGGGGCAGCTCCATAAATTATCCGGTCTCTGCCATTGGATATTAGCGTGACGCGTGCTTAGCCAATCGACCTTTCGCCTCTCGACATCGTTCAAACTGAGCTGAGGTCATCACCAGTGATCATCACCACGACAGCGCAATCCTGGCCTGGTGCATGCTTGATTCTCAGCAATATCTCGTCTGCTCAAGAGTGCTAAATTGCACTACGTCGTTCTCGCAACGTACACTGTTTCGTCGGTATCCTTGATGCCGTCTTGAATAACCTGCTATCAATCTTGCGTTTCCTCCTGTTTGCATATGTGCCACGCATGGGCTTTCATGTTGCGTTGCGGAATGTTTGGAGCGGGGTGATACACTTTGGTGTTGAGGTGATTGAGGTTGACCAAGCGGTTGATTCATGATGAGCGACAAGGGGAGGACGGGGCGTTCAAAGTGGAATATTCCTAAGTGGATGCCCTCTGTGTTACGCCTTTGAACTTCGCGATAACTTCCGCGATATGTTTCTAGTGGGACATGTCCGTTATTGGCCCGTTATGACGGATAGCCTTTCGTCTTTGAGACAGATATTGAGTGTGGCGGGAAATTGCACCGCTTAACGCTACATGGCGGTGAGAGCACATGATCCTGATTCTCAGTATTTGGTTTTCTCACTCACGACTATGCGACTCATCTTTTAGACATGGCTTCGGCGACGCGTCCCAGAAAGGTTTTTGGCAATGCGGCAACTGGCACTATTCGAGGAGGTAGAACATCGGGGGTTGATTGGGTGCCGAAGTTCGTCCAGGGTGCTTGTTTGAAGATCATACGGACAAACTTGGCCAAGATGACGAAGAAGTGAAGGCGCTACAGCCTGTCTTGGCTCAACGCGAGAGCAAATCTACCTATGCGGAACTACTGCAGAGGGAAGGGATGAAAGTTGTGTCTGGTATACTACCAAACACCCCATTTGTTGGCATAATCTCTCCATGACATTGAAATGGAGATCTTGGTCCAGATTGTCCCCCAGAAGCTTCATGTAGGGTGCAAGAGGCGGTCACTGTCACGAGGGTGCAATAGCCTGGTTGCAAAGAGCTCTCGGTTGTGGGAACAACAAAGGCTGTTTTTTACATTGTTTCTATTGCCAGCTTGATTATTTAGATAGTCAATTGATATTTGTCTAGCCTATCAGGATTCACCAGCCTAATCTGCGGCTCTTCAACAAGGCTAGTGTGTGCTTGTTCCGTGTCAGAGCCCAAGTTACGTCGTTCCTCCTTCTCCCCACACTCATCTCCATCTCCATGTCAACCTCACATCAACAAACCACACAAAAAATGTCGGCCGAAGACGACTCCTCCGACCTCTCTTCGCTCTCTTCGTTGTCGCCTGCGCCTTCTGATATTGAGTTGGACGAGCCAGTCGAAGAGCCAGTCGCCAAACCCAAAAAGGGTATCCAGAAATACTTCTCCAAGGCTACAGACAAACCAGCCAAGGAGGCTTCGCCGCCACTACGAAAACGCTCACCGTCGCCCCCTCATGAATATGTATTGGCAGATAATCCAGACATTGCAGTATGTGTCTCTCTTTCATATGGCTGTCTCCTTTTCACAATTTTCTCTTCAACCGTTCAGCGCGTGTCGCAGCTGTTGCGACGCGCTGCAGTCGCGCATTGGACTTCACGAGTATAAGCTAACAATTACAGTTCATTGTGATGTTCAGAAGTCGATTCAACGACGCATTCCCTAAATCGCTTGCCCATTTTGGCCCACAAGAACTCGAACGTGATATTGTCGAACCTATTCCTGGCGATCGAGCGGAACATTTCCTTTGCGCGTTGCTGGGGTTACTATTGAATCGCAAGCAAGATGTCAAGTATGGCAGGACCCCATGTCGCAAGAAATAATGCGCTAATCAATACAATTAGGCCTGGCCATTACGGTCGCGCTTTGGAGGATGCTGTCAGTACTCACAAGAACCAATGGGCACCTGCTTGGGAGGACAAGAGCCCTTTGTCTGGCGGCGCAACGTTCACCTCGATGAACCCTACGCAACGAGTGCGTATTAGCAAACCAACCCTCGAGACTGTCCCTAGTACTAACGTTGATAAAGCTTACACTCCTACGATATCTAATTCTTTGGACTCTTTCATCCTCCGAAACCGTGAAAGGACTTATCAACCAATCATACAAGCAAAACCGCCACGAAGATGATACGAACCAGCCTCGATCGGTACAGCCTTGGGGATCAGACGGAGACAAGCGCCGCTATTTCCTGATTGAAGGACAAGACGATACAGCTTTTCGTGTTTACAGAGAGAGTAATCCTGCTGGGACCAGCAGAACATGGTGGAGCGTTGCTGGTACTATCGAAGAGCTCAAGGCTCTTGCTGAGAAGCTCCAGGTTAAGGATGGTGGACCAAAGGCTACAAAGCTAGCTCAGAAAATGTTCTCTGCGGTCCCCCGATTCGAAGCCGGCGAAGATGTTAGTTATACAGACCTGGCTGTGGCACCAAGCACGGGTTCTGCCACAGCTCTCAACTCGACTACACTACTGACACTCTATAGAAACGTAAGCGCCGTGATTACAGACAGGCGCGCAAGGAACAGTTCAAGAGACCGGAACCTGGGTTTTCTCTTTATGAGGGTCGGACTCGAGGTAAGAAGATGAAGTATACATACTCCGATGACGAAGACATCTTCACCACCGACTCGACAACTCGACGATCTACCCGCAACACTGGAACTCATACCCCAGCAGAGACTGGTCCTGTCACCACCGCGAGCGGCCGACAGATCAAGGCACCAACACGGCTGAACCCCACAACTGGAAGCAGTGCTCCAGGCAGTGTACAGGGAGACACCTCTGAGGTTGATAGAGAGCAATCCGTTGGTCCGACGGGACGACCTCGCCGATCGGCAGCAGTAAATCACGGCACAACCGGCTGGGCCGAGAACAACAAGGGGCCCCGGCATAACGCCTCTGATGATTCTGAGGACGAGAGCGAGGCCGATTTCGGGGATGACGAGGAAGATGTCGACGAGCATGTGCCTGAGGAATCAGAAGACGAAGACGATTTCGACGAAGATGAAGTTATGATGGACGATGACCTGGAAGAGACAAACCGAAGTCTGGTTGTGAAACTTTCCGTGACACCACCAAAGTTGCGGAACGTCCTGGGACCCAACTCACAAGCCGGAAACAAACTACCAACGCCAAGCTCTGATAAGGGAGGTGAGGAGCATCAATTAGGAGAATCGCCTCTTGTTGAGATGCAGGACGCCCCAGAAGCTACGTCCAGCAAGGAAGCTGAGGCTGCAGCACAACAATCTCCCACCCCAAACATGAACTTTGCTGAACGCAACAACGCAAGCCCAGCAGCCCTACATGCGACGTCTCTGGCTTTTAGAGGGAGCCCAGAAAAGACGCATGCGCAACCAGTCCCTCGCCCTCTCGATGTTGGGGCAAATCACGAGTAGGGACAGGAGATTTGACACTATACGTTTTTGTTGGAGTTGGGGAACTAATGGTTCATATGGCATAAAGCCAGCGACGCAAAAGGTTAGCGATATGGCGGAATGGAAATGCAGTATTAAAAGAAGCAAGTTATTGAAGGCATCGAACTTGCGTGTGCCTATAAACTGGGTTCTCTAGAGGTTCAAAGTGATGCCCGACGGACAACAGTATCTTGACCCATCGAGGGCTTGAGATGGGCAAGTATGTCAGCATAGCGAGGCATATTAGTTATTATACCAATGTCAAGCTATATGCGACCGTATAGATATCTAATTCTCTCATGACGGCAGATGTCACTTAGAGTGGTGCATTCGAGGAGAGCAGAAATAGGCGATGCGTGATATAGTCGATGATCAAGGGATAGACTCTGAGAGCCGAAGACTTTGTCAACGCACCTACTGAATGATAAGTCGATGTTCAAGGTTTCGAAATGACAGAAACCATGCTAGATGAAAGGCCTTGATAGGCGCTCCGGACTTGCTCTTCGGATGTTGCACAATTATTGTTTGTCATTTTAGCTTAGTAGATCATACATGGCAATGGTATCGGCCTCCTGAGTATTATGTGTAGTCTTTTCATATCCCGATCTCATCAACCTCTCTTAGAATGGGTAGGTATCTTCCCTTACATAACAGGTTAGCTAAAATAAAGCATGGCCATGGATTCATTCAATGACCTACAATTGTTGACTCCCCACCACCAGCGTCTTACTCGCGCACCTAATGTGTTACCGTGCAATCGAGCATTTCTGTTCCAATGTTGCCAGCCACAGAGGAAGAGGTTGTACACTAAGCCCTGGGTCAAGGGCATGATGATCTGGCACTGTGTTAGCAATCAGAAGCTCTGATGCTCTACATATACATGCCTGATCCCTCGTTGTAATCAACGCCACCTTCCACCATGTATCCGCCTTGGAGATACTTCGAAGATAGCTCTGCTCGAAGCGCAGATCTGGCAGAGGAGGTAGATGAGAATGTCTGGGCGCCGGTCGGAGAACGCTGTAGGGAATGTCCTCTTCTTCATCGTCATCGTCGATCCCATCGTCGTGCTCGTGCTTGGCGTGCTCTAGGGTCACAGGTTGTCTTCTCTCAGCTGCTGTGGGCGGGTTGGTATCGAGAGCAGGATCTGGATGTCGTTCGATGCTTGCAGCCTGGATAGTGGCGGCAAGCTCTGTGGGAGCCGAATCCATATTTGGTGTGTGTATTCTCGACTCGAATTATGGTGTCAGACTGGTGTTTTCGAGATGCCCCGGATTGTTGTCGCCGGACGGGTAGTAGATACCTTGACAGTGGTGCTGATAGTCGAATGTGAGGTACTAGTGATTGACGTCGCATGGCCGAGCTGCGGAACGTTACTGCCAGGCGGTAGACTAGCGTGTGGAGGTGGTGGGGAATGTCTGATTGGTCCGAGATGACCTTGGATGGATAAGAAGCTCAAGACTTGAATTGGATATCAGACATCCATTATTTTACAGCTCCAAATCATTGACCTACAGCTGCAGATAAGAATGAAATATTATGCCTTGACCATACAAACTAGGCAGGGTCACACATAGGAAAGTAGATTCAATTTCTGGAACAATCTGCGTGGACTTGAGTTAACAAATCTGGTCTGTATCAATAAGCCATGACTCTTTCGTACTGTAGACCTATAGGTGTAAGGTGAATCGCCTCGTCCCTGTCCGCTTCACAGATGTCCCTCGGACGTGACTTCTACAACTCTCTCAGGGCCCGAGTTTAATGTATACAAGTTACATAATATGATCTGAAGCCTGAAACGTCCAAGGCACATATAGGCGCACCTTGGAACAGTATCAAGCTTGAACTAGCCCTATAAGGTCTGCGACCAATGTAGAACTCTCGACATCTGCCCATAAATTGATTGGTAGGTGAATTTGCGAGAAGGTCTAGGTATGAATGATGAGTGTTATGATCAGCCAACGGTTACTGGGGTCTATGCAATCGTGTGAGTCAACCTTTATTAAAGTAGATGAGACCTGAAACAATTGGAATTATACAAGGTCAACGTGCTTTTCAAGAGATGATGCAGTGTGACATGTAATGGCTTTTAAGGTTGTCAGCATAGACGTATGCGGACATGGTGTAAATCAAGGATAGGGCTGAAGGTTGGTTAGAAGAGATGATCGGCATTAGGCCCCATCATAGCCTGTAATCAAACAACCCCTTCTTTATCGTAACTCGAAGTCATTCTCACTCATAACCTTGATGATAGTATTTTGCTCTGAGGATGAGCTTCTGCAGTGGCGTTGTTCAGTGTGACATTCCAGCCGAGCAAGTGGTGGATGCTGATATGAACTGAATTGGTGTAAGTCCAGTACACTAATTCACATCTGTTCGATTGCTCACATATTCTATTTATGTTGTATTGCCCTTCGTGATTACAGCTGCAATCTCGGTGATTGTGGCCGTCATGGCCGTCCTCAAACGTGGTATACCCAAGCAGCAGTATATGCGAGTCGATGAGGAGGTCCTCTATTGGATCGGGGTCAGGAAACCTGCCAATGACTCCCCTAGTAACATTGGCTATCAGCCTCTTCTACTCGCGTTGAGTGATCAAATGTTGGCTGTTGGGCTGTGCTATCTCATCGCCATGTATGCACAAGTCTGCAAGGTATCACTCTACTCCTTCTTTATCGGCGCTCAGCTGGGCTATTTATCATCCACTGTTCACTTATGCAGGCTGCTAGTGCTGAAGTCATATTTCAGAAAACATCCAAAGCAAGCACTCTTGCGTGGTGGCTTGATGATACTATTCCTGGGACTCCTCATGGTAAGCCTGATCCTAGAGTTCATTACACTACCCGAGCCGCGCAACAGGCTATTCCTCTGCGGCCTTCACTATCCGGCATCAACTCGTCTAGAATCAATGGGTGTCAGATGTTTCTCAATTGCTGTGATGCTGGCCTTTGTCTACTGGAACGCTTTTCGATCGATCAAACTGGACAACTCTCTAAGATACGAAGTCGAGAACAACACTTCCAAGAACACGATTCTGCGATGGATATACTTGGGCGGTCAACGAGAGGTAGACTTTCAAGAGTACTTGGAACAAAAGGAAGAAGATAAGCGCCAACGAAATCGAAAGAAGGCGGCAACTGGAACGAAGCACTGGGTTTTGGAAACCCTTCAACATCGTGACACCGCTTATTGTGGCCGAGATGGCTGCCTCAGTTCTGTTTGAGTTGCTGGTCGCCATCTTCTCCTTTTCAATTGCCTTGTACACACTGGTCACTGGTATTTTCTATCAAGGTGCCGACATCAAGCCGCTATTGACCGCGAGCTTTGGGCAGATTATGCCTATGCTGCTTCTTATTGTTATTGCTCTGACAGCAGTCGAGGTTGGCAGTGAGTCTGTCACACAGAACTTGAGTTTTGCGACACTGACTGAAATGACCTATAGCAATCAAGAACTTTCGGAGAATTGAGATTGAGATCGATATCGAGATGAAGAAACATGCCGCCCTATTTCACAATGCTCCAAGAGGAGGTCCGGGACTAGAGAGCGATGCTGTGCTCTCGAGCCGAGTACAGTCGTTCAACTTACAGAACAGCATGGCCGGCGCTGCAGAGGATATGTCGTTGCAAAACCCACCTAAAACCTATGGGACCTCAGTATTGCCTATGGCTGCTGCATCTCATAGTCAACCAGACCTCTCAGGCACTGCTGGCTTTGGCACAAGAGTCGACTCAATGACCAGATGGATGGCACCAAGGAGAACGATTGCAATAGAATTAGAAGAGGGGAAAAGGGTAGGTCGCTCTTGTTTTCCATTTCTCGTGCCTCCTTTCAAGTGTTGTACACGTACTAATATGTGCCAACCAGTGTCTGCTTCATGCTGCCGAGTCAACTTTGGATCTTCTTGATATTGCTCTCAGAAGCAAAAGGAATAACCTATGCTGCGATCTGCCTTGTTCTCTTCCTCTTGGCTGGATATTTTGTTGCATGCTTTCTCTTCTACCAGTATGTGGTGCCAGTTACAGCAGGGATACTCATCATAGGAGGCATATTTGTCCTTCTTCGAGGCGTGCGAGGCATCCACAGAGTAAGAAGTGATAGGATTCAGAAGGAAAGGCAGATATGATGCAGGTCATGCACCATAATAGGATGACATTTGTTGATTCATACTACTTAGGCGTAGAATTTAAGTTTGTTGTGGGATCATATTCTCGTTATACAGTCAGTCATGAAGCACACCGAGTTACACTCATTAAACAGCCGCCGTTTTCCACAAACATCCAAGACCGAGGCAAACCTACAGGCAGCAACAGCCCATGATTCAGAAAGTCGGGACTGCGCTGTCAGCAGTGAATATAATAGAGACCCACTCGGGTACCAATGATCTCAAGCAAAGTACTTTAGAATGTAGCGTCCTCGAGGCAAAATCGAAGTTACGTACTAGGTAGATAGTGAAAGTGTGAAGTGCATTGACTTCATTGCCCCAATTAAGCAACAAATCAAGGTGGGTTGTGTGTTCTGTGGCGTGTGGGTGCCTCACTAGGTCATCGCTCACTGCACGAAAAAATCTGGCACTAACATCCAACTTTTGGGATCTTCAGGCTCCAGAGTCCAGTCCAGAATTAATAGTTCCACGACTCCCAGACTCTCGAGGAGAAATCTCTACCGGAATAAAACCACTCACATACAAAGGTCTGAGCTAAGTACAGTTCAACCGCCAAAATGAGTGACGCTCAGGCGAACGAGGCCGAGAAGAACGTGAGTCTTATCCTTATCCCAACCCTCGAATGCCCCTCTTCTTTTCTCGTGTCGTGCGTTGCCCCGCGATCGAAGAAATTAACGTCTCGCCCATCGACAAAGTTCAAAAACAATGACTGACGGCATCTGTAATAGATTGAGATCTGGAAGGTCAAGAAGCTGATAAAGCGTCTTGAAGCCGCCAGAGGAAATGGAACCTCAATGATTTCCCTCATTATCCGTAAGCCGTTCTCGTCAGACAACCTCCCCAAAACACGCACTAACTCGTCTGCCCTTTTAGCTCCCAAGGATCAAGTCTCTCGAGCAGCCAAGATGTTGGCTGAAGAATACGTACGGCTTCAAGTTCCTCTCGAAATTCCCCCATGACGACACTAACAACCCCTCAGGGTACCGCCTCCAACATCAAATCTCGAGTCAACAGACAGTCTGTCTTGTCCGCCATTACCTCGACCCAGCAGCGTCTCAAGCTGTACAACAAGGTCCCCCCGAACGGTCTCGTCGTCTACTGTGGTGAAATCTTGACCCAGGAAGGCAAGGAGCGAAAGGTCAACATCGATTTCGAGCCCTTCAAGCCCATTAACACCTCCCTCTACCTGTGCGACAACAAGTTCCACACCGAGGCTCTGGCCGAGCTGCTCGAGTCCGACCAGAAGTTCGGTTTCATCATCATGGATGGTAACGGTGCCCTGTTTGGAACTCTTAGCGGCAACACCCGTGAGGTCGTCCACAAGTTCTCTGTCGATCTTCCCAAGAAGCACGGTCGTGGTGGTCAGTCCGCTCTCCGTTTCGCCCGTCTGCGAGAGGAGAAGCGTCACAACTACGTTCGAAAGGTTGCTGAGTTGGCTGTTCAGAACTTTATCACTGCTGACAAGGTCAACGTTGCTGGTCTCATTCTTGCTGGTTCCGCCGATTTCAAGAACGACCTCAACGCCTCCGACATGTTCGACAACCGTCTTGCGACCAAAGTTATCAAGGTTGTTGATGTTTCTTATGGTGGTGAGAACGGTTTCAACCAGGCTATTGAGCTGTCCTCCGAGACTCTTGGCAACGTCAAGTTCATCCAGGAGAAGAAGCTCATCGGAAAGTACTTTGAGGAGATCAGTCAGGACACCGGCAAGGTTTGCTACGGCATTGAGGACACCCTCAAGGCTCTCGAGCTCGGAGCCGTCGAGACTCTGATTGTCTTTGAGAACCTTGAGATCACCCGCTGGGTTCTCAAAGACAGCAACGGCAGCGAGGTCATCCTTCACACCACCAAGCAACAAGAGCAGGCCAACCGTGACAAGTTCCTCGACAAGGAGACTGGCCAAGAGATGGAGATTGTTTCTCAGGAGTCCTTCCTGGAATGGATTGCGGAGCACTACAAGGACTTTGGTACCACTCTTGAGTTCGTTTCTGACCGATCCACTGAGGGCAACCAGTTCGTCAAGGGTTTCGGTGGTATCGGCGGTCTTCTCCGCTACAAGGTCAACTTTGAGCAGCTGGCTGACTTGAGTGACGACGATGAGTACTACGACGGTGAGTTGACATAGTCTTCGGGAAAGGAGAGCTCTCGATTCTAATCAGCAAACAGATTGACCAGCGGATCCCCTCGTTACCAGCGAGGGATCGACTCAAGTTCATCCGTCCATGTACAACAACAGTGCCATGCGCCCCGAGGCGCAGAGGTCGACCGATGCCGCGCCGATGTCAATCGCCCAGCACCGCTTGGTGGAGAGGGACAGTCTCGCGCCTCTCCATTCTTCCCGCCAGGCATCGCGACCCAGTCCGCTTCGCACAATGATGACGGCTTGAGTTATGATCGACGGGAATAGAGGTACATCTCAGACCCTCCAATTCTTGCACCTCAGGAAATCAGAATGTCAGGTCTAACGGCTGGTAGGCCCAACCATTAAAATTGAAGTATAGCGGTGGCACAGCGGCTAGGGGATCAATCTGGAGGGCCATCATGGATAACGCATCATATCGCGACGTCCGGCCTGAAGATTGTTGTTATTTGAGTAGAGTCGGCGTTAGCTGGCTACAAGGCTTGTCCCTGATTGGGCGTATATAGTCATGAGCAGGCACCACACGCCGGATCAACGAAATACTAGTCGTTTGCATGGCCATTGTTCTGAGTTGATGTGAAGTAATTTTATGTATCACCTAACTGAAAGCAGAGGGGGAGCCTTTTCCGTTCTGGTGGAAATATCCATAATTCAGGGGAACTCCCATTATACTTTACGATTTTATGAAATAAGGCTTACTAGCATTGTATAATATCGTATTGATACCGCGTATTCATGTGATATTAGCTCCCCGTTTCCGGTGTTTCTGGTCGCTGTGGGGGTCCGCGGATGCCCACCTAAGGTAGGTAGTAGTAGGTAGGTGTACCTTAGGTAGGTACCCAGCATGGGTGTGCTACGTCAATACAAGCTTACATGGGCTGTACCTAGAATACCTGGAAACGACCTATCAACGAACACAGCTTGTCAACATCATTTCATCTCATCTTCTCACCGTCATATAAAATTTCCCTTTCCCCCTTCTCTGCGCCATAGAGGGACCTCAGCTCAGTGTCAACTGAAGCTGTCGTCAGGCGCTTGAACATAATTATCTCTTTATAATGCCAGAAGACGCCCCTCCACCAGCGGCCAACCAGGCTGGCCGCGCCATCCCCGTCGGCCTCAATGAAGCAGCACTCGATTCCCCGACTTTTCGTGTAACCGCTGCCAACTTTGGCGATCAAGTCGATGCTATAGAAAAATGGCTCAACGGATATGCTCAGTCGACGTCGAAGCTACTGCACGATATCCTCGCCCTCGAAGAGACGATTAATACCTTTCTCGTGAAGACGATGCCCTCGGCGGCTGACGGCGTTGTCGATAATGATTATACATTTCTGGCTCTGAAGAGGGTGGGCGATGGATGGCGTGAGTATTGGATACAGATGATAAGCACAATGAAGAAGATGGAAGGCCTAGTTGTCGACCCTATTCGGCAGTTCATCGTTGGCGATCTCAGGAACTTCAAGGAGTGCCGGAGAGCTATGGAGCAGGCGCAGCGAACGTTTGACTCGACACTCGCTCGATACGTCAGTCAGTCAAAGACAAAGGAGCCCTCAGCTCTGCGCGAAGACGCCTTTGCTGTTTTTGAGACACGAAAGGCATACCTCAAAGCCTCGATGGATTACTGCCAGCTTGCACCACAGCTGCGCTTTAGTATGGATAAGCTGCTTGTCAAAATATGCAGTGAACGTTGGAGCCAGCTGCGGCGTGCCAAAGAAGCAGCAATCGAGACTACACGCTGGAATCATGAAATGGAGCGCATACAGGGTTGGTCGAATGAAATGGGAGCGTCTGAGATGGTCTTCAGACGAGAGTTGCAGTCTGCCAGGAGAGAGATTGGAGAAAATGCGCTCGCAGGATTTAAGCCGTCCCGTGAGCTCGAGGACTACAGCACTTCAACTGTTCCTTTCCTTGGTACTCGTGGCCCTATCACTGTTCGTCTTGAAGAGGGTGCCACAGTTGTCTCTGAAAAGCAAGGATGGCTGTTCCTGCGGGTGCTTTCAGGGAAGCCAGCAAGGCATACGTGGATCAGGAGATGGTACTATTGCCGTGATGGCATCTTTGGTTGGCTGATACCAGGACCTCTGGGAGTTCTTCAGGGTGACGAGATTGGAGTTCTACTTTGTAATGCAAAGCCGGCTGTGGCTGAAGACAGACGCTTCTGCTTCGAGGTTAAGACCAAGAGCCAGACAATCCTTCTCCAGGCAGAGACGCAGGGCGAGCTGACCGAGTGGTTGGAGGTTTTTGAGGTTACCAAGAAGCGGGCTTTTGAAACCAGCATGAACAGAACTAGTGCTTCTCTTCCCGGTTCCGTCGATCCTGCGTTTTCGATCTCTCCCCCCAGTATTCCTGAGTTCTCTGCCAAGGCCCTTGACGCACAGATCGGTATCTACGATGAATCAAGCCCTAATATTGACCGGGCAAACACACTGCCTATTCCAGGACCAGATGGTAACCTCAGTACACGACAGAGCTTTGACGTTAACGGCAGCATCTCTCGTCGTACCATCACTGCTCTGGGTCGAGACTTGGCTCGAGAGGAAGGCGAGAGTGGCCGTGAGCATGCTGCCAGAATCATCCAGAAACTCGACCTGCATCGCAAAGCGACTTTTGGCACTCAAGGTCCCGAAGCTGGACAGGGAGGTTCAGCTTCCACGGCTGGACTGGCTAGCATGATGGCTACTAGCCACACTCTACCGCCAGGATTTCCAGGATCTGTTGGAAGCACAACAAATTTCAGGCAGACGCCTAGCATGCTGCCATCGGTTGACACCCAGGTTGGCAGTCTAGCTCCAGCAACACTGGCTAAGCCCCCCTCGATGACTGGATTGAGCCGCATTGCAGTTCTGGCAGCAGGAGAACGCCAACCTGTGGGTAACAATAGGAAACTCCCTGCATCTGTGGTTGCGAACTACTGGGGAACAAGTCTCTGGGGTGCAATGAACGCACCGCCTCAACCCGTCCTTCCCAGACTCGATGAGGATGACCCGATTGGTGTTGTCGTTCCTGGAAGCACTGTAGGTCAAGGTGTTCAGCGGAAGGACGGTGGCGAATACTTCCCCCGAAACTATCCCCCAGAGTTGAGAGCGCAACATGCACAGTTTCGACTACTTTTCCCAGATGCGCCCTTGGAGGAGAAGCTGGTGCTTGTCTTCCGAGCCGCCTGGACTGGGTCTCCTGAGCGAGGGCCAGGCAAGCCAGACATGGCGGGCGATGGCCGTATATACATTACACCCGACAATATGTACTTCTACGGACAACAGATAGGACTCGTCACGGCCTACAGTATCAGTCTTGATATCATTAGCGAAGTAACGGCAGCCCCAGGCAGGGACTGCGACTTCATTTTCCTGCACCTGAATGAAAACGCCAACGAAACAGGATATACCAGGATCACTATCAAAGTCTTCTTGGAGGACCTTGGTCTCCTCCACACTCGCCTCAACCTACTGATCGACGACATCCAGGCTGAGGAGCCCATGGATGTTGAGGCGATCATCACCACCTTGGTCAACCTCGAAAAGGAAGAGTATGACCGCCCAAGTCCCAGTGTCGAAAGCTGGGAAGAGGTCTCGGCAAATACGCCCATGGATGACGGTACTTCGATGGGACGGCCTGTTGCTCGACGTATGGAGTTCAGCCCTCCGCTTCGTCTTTCGAGATCGAGAGTTCGACATAACCATAAACTTCATTTGCCAGCTCGTCCTGTCATTTATGAGCCAGAGGGCATGAAGGAGATGGCGGCTGAGCGACACTTTGAAATTAGTGCCAAGTCCTGCTTCCATGTTTTGTTCGGTGACAAGAGTTTTGTATTCCCAAAGCTGTACTTTGAACGACGTGCTCAGCAGATCGCCCAGGGACCTTGGGTTCTGGTTGATCAAGGCAGGATGAGACGTGACTTCCAGTTCAAGGTCGACTATAAAGATGTGTTAGGTCGGTCCAAAACGGCCGATGTCAATGACTACCAGATCATCGATGTCTTTAGCGATCACGTTACGTACGTGGTAACTCATGTCAAGACGGCCTGGCATCTGCCTCACTCAAGCTGGTTCAAGGTTGTGACCAAGATTGTCATAACGCATGTGGCCAAGTCCAAGTGCAAACTAGCCATCTACACAAAAACGGATTGGTCGAAAAACCCAGCGCTCTCCAAGAACCTGATTGACCGCCAAGCCATTCACGATGCTGCGAGTGACGCTGAAGGGTTAGCTGAGGTTGCCACGGACCAAGTTCGAAAGCTTGGAACTCGAAGCCGAACAAACAGAGCAATTCAGGTGTACGGTCAGATTGGGCAACAGACAGAGGTGGTGGTCTTCTCGCCTGCTGCGACAGATTCAACAAAGAAGCAGGCCATCAAACCTCGAACCCTGACGACGATGGTGTTTGAGACGATTCGGTCTTTGGGGGAGAGCGCTGTATCATCACTCATCATGTGGGCTATTGCTGTGCTGCGCAACTTGTTCAACTTGATTACAGCTCAGTGGATCATCCTTGCGCTTCTCGCATTCAGCACCCTTACAAATCTCCTGCTAACGTCGAGCGAGACATCGACGTGGTGGAGAGAGCGAAGAGCAGCAGGTTTCATGCAAAACATTGGGGTTCGACCCAATTCCATGATGAGCAAGGCCATATACTTTGCGGATCTGGATGCAGCATCGGGGACTAATCAAGGGTTGTCTTTTCCCGAGAACAGCACATGCTTCTCGACCTTTAAGGATCTACTGGATACGACAGATATAGATACGCCCTGGGAGGATGCTGGTGCTAGTTTGACTACACCTACTAGTCGTGCTACAGCCCGTCGACTTCGACGGACTCGACAACGGCTAGGATCATATCGACATGATTTGTTAGTAGCCATGAGGGTTGTCAACAGCATTGAGCGAGAGATGCTACAGTCAGAATGGGAGAATTGGTTGGTAGACGAAAAGTTCCTTTGTGATGAACTGGATACTATGCTTCAGCAGCAGGGCGACGTAAAGGGGCGGAAGAAAGGAGCAGAAGCCGGCAAGGGGTCACAAAAGGTCATGGAGCCTATACCGGCTAAGAGAAGGCAGGCCCTTGAGCAGTGGCGGGATACTTACTGTGGGAGCTGTAAGCAGGACTACCAGGTTGTGATGAAGGATCGGAAGTTGTCGATTGTGTAATACGATATATAGAGCATTCTTGTAATTGTGTAAGGCATCCTAAGTTAGCCGGCTATACATGTGTAAGCAAGCATTCGAGAGGTGAATAGAACTCTCAGGCTCGCCCTCGCCTGGCGAATTTCATCTGTCATCATACGTACGGAGCGGACTCTTTCACAAATCCCGAGAAGCGGTGCTTTTATATGGGCAGCAGTTTGACTAATCGGGAGTAGGGATGTTCTGGAATTGATTATGCATAATTCTAGTCGTTTTCGTTTATACGGAGGAACGAATCCGGGCTCCTCGGGGTATCAGAATAAAAATAGGCTCACCAGCGTTAAGCAACTGGGGTGACAGAAATACTCATGCAGATCTATACCAGATTATCCTCACTGTCTGTCTATTTGTTTTTTGAAACCCCCGGCCGCCGCCGCCCTAGCCGGGGGCCTCCTAGGTAAGGCTTGGCCACTGAAGGTTATAGGTAAGTAAGTACCAAAGGCAGGTTAGGTAGGTAGGTAGGTTAGTGACGTCAATACGCGGGAATGACGGCAGTTGGTCATGACCCATTGGCGGCCGAAAGAACAAAAAGGGTTATTGGTATGATTCCGACTGCTATTTCTAGCATTGGTTGGTCTTCTTGGCTTTATCTCATCTTGTTCTACTTCTGACGTCTTCATCTTGAAACTTAGCGACTTGTTGGACTTTCCTTGTTTTATCCCGTCTCGTTTTCTTCTCGTAAGCAGGTACGAGGCTCATATTTTGCCAGGTACCTACTCCTACACTCACACTCGTACTCACACCTACTCTAATCACTAAATCCATCCGCCGCTCATCTCCATCCATACCTATCCACTCCGCCAACAGCTATGGGGGGTAATCATCACGAACCTCTCGGGGCTATGGGCCCTGTTGAGTGGGAACAGGTGCCCCAAGACGACCTTGACGAGTTCCTCGCCGATATTCTTTCCGAGACGCAGACCGTAGTGGAATCTATTCCAGTGCCAGCCAAGAAGGAAGCTTCAAGCTCTGCAGGACGAGCTCGATCCAAGACGGAGTCGGCGGCTTCAGGTCCTGATATCAAACGAGCTTTGACCCTGCGACAGAAAGCTGAAGCTATCAGCCAGGCACAAGATCTGCAGAAGGAGTGGAAGGAGATTAAAGTCAGCGCGAAGGAGAATCCTCTCGGGATCAACGTCTATAAACTGAGCGCCAAAGATGGGCGCGGCGCATGGTTTGCTCGGCGGAGTGTACACGAAGGGCTTTCCTTTGACGACTGGAAGAAGGGCCTTGCTGTTGAGTTTTCAGAGACGATGAAGGTCCAAGGTGCTCCTGGAAGTGGCAATATCCGTGGTATAGGTGCCGATAAGCAGGTGGAGGACAAGCAGATTGGTGATCATGGCCAACTGCAAGGTACGTTGAATCATGCTATCACTACCCAAAATATTTTCAGCTGACAACCAATAGTCTTTCAACTTTCTGCCCAGTTCCCTGGTCCGACCGCCCCGCGAGACTTTGTGACTCTTCTCCTGACTTCCGAGACCTCCGTAAAACCCGGCCAAGGATCCCGGCCCCTCCGACAGTACATGATAGTCTCAAAACCTTGCGAGCACCCAGAGTGTCCTCCCCGCCAGGGCATTATTCGTGGCTATTACGAATCAGTTGAAGTAATTCGTGAAGTCCCGGTCGACAACTTTGCCTCTAAGAGATCTCTGTCGTCGGCGGATCTGCTGGATCGAGACGAGGGGAGGATATCAAGCTCGAAACCTGGCAGCGAGGGTCACGGTTCAGTGCCCCTTGACGAACCTGCCACGGCTGTTGAATGGCTCATGGTGACTCGTAGTGACCCTGGCGGCAGTGTCCCGCGCTTTCTTATCGAGAAGGGGACACCACCGGGCATCGTGGGTGACGCTGGCAAGTTCCTTAAGTGGGTGACTTCGAAGGCTATGCATGGATTTGTTGAGCCGGAAGAGACTGGCGAAGCAAATAAGACTGCTCAAGGCACTGAGGCATCTATAAAGAACGATGCAAAGCCCACAGTTGCGCCGAAACCTACTACTAATATTGAAAACACCAAGGCTGAAACTTCCATGTCTCCAAGTCAAGACGACCCTTTCCCTGGCAGTAATGGGCTGTATGGTGTTATAGCTGGTGCTATAGGGGCTGCCAGTTCCTATATTCCTACAAGCCTGCTCAAGACCTGGGGAACTGGTTCTGATCTCGTGTCCACTGACGGGAGTGTATCCGACGCTCACGCGATCGCTGAGGAGCAACATGATGACGACAGCGACACCTCTTCGATCCGAAGCTTTGCGTCAGCCCTTGAGAAGAGTGTGACCGCCGAGAACAAATCTCCCGAGAGTCTTGTCGAGTCCCAATCGGAAACATCCCGCTCCAATCCGCAACAATCACAACAGTCACTAGCCGATAAGGAACTCAAAAAGCTTGAACAAAAGAAGAAAAAGCTTGATGAGAAGATGGCTCGTCTTGAGGAGCGTCGACAGAGCAAGCTTCTTGGGGACAAGGAGAAGGATGCTGCTACACTGGCTAAGTTGCGTGAGAAACATGAAAAGGAGGTGGCTAAGCAGGAAGAGAAGTACCGCCGCGAGATGCGCAAGCTCGAGGAGAAGCGTGAACGGGACCAGCGCAAGGCTGAAGAGCGACGTCGCAAAGCAGCTGAGCAGGAAGAGAAAAACAACCTCTCGCTTGAGCTTGAGCGCGTCCGTACAGAGCGAGATGTTGCTCGCCGTCAGATCGAGCTTCTTGAAGGACAGGTTGGCGAGTTACAGGCACAGAATACGATGCTCGTCCGCAAGCTGGGTAAGAACGGGCTGCTGGACAGTCCAGGTTCTCCATCACCGTCCATTAAGAGCATTCAGAGAGCCCACACAGATGTTTGAGATACCATGTCGAAAAGAATTAACTTAGTCAGGAGAAGAAAGGGGGGAAGTTGCTCATTGAAAGACTTCTATTATTCACATACAGCACACGTGTTACGGCCGGTATTTTACTGCGAGGCGTCGGGGGGCTCGTTTTTCAATAAATCATAAATAGCATTAAATCATTACTTTTCTCTTTTCTTGTTTTATTTGCAGGTTTCTCTCCATGTTTGTGATGTTGCCTAGAGAGACTGCAACAAAAGGCCTGACATATGTCCGTGACTGTCTTGGAGAACACTGCTTGACTTGTTGATCCTCTCGCAGAGACCAGAATCAGGCTGTTTTCTTATTAGCGCTGCGGAAGCATGAACAACCCGAGACAAGATTGCGAAGACCTCTGGTTTTGACGCATATCCAAGAGGTCCGTCTTCTTGACTCGCAAGATCCTGCATTGCTTCTAACCCTTCGCTTGTCCATGTTGTAAGTGAGTCAAGAGAGGGGTCATTGGACTCCCATGTTAAGTTCTTGTAGAGAGAAACCCAGCGCTGTGTCTCTCTGACCTCATCCACAAACAAGTTCTGCTCCTCAATGACAAAAAGTGAATCATCAAACTTCAATGCCTCCTGCAGCTGTTCCTTAATAGAAACCACATTGCTCTCAGAGGTTGGATATCGAGAGTCACCCATGACGCGACGCACAACGACCTGGCGGAACGTTGGGCTACCGGCGTAGTGCTGGGATAGCCATGAGAGGAGACGATTTGCGGCTTCGATAGGTACAAGAGCTTTGCCTAGAATGCTCTTAACTGCTGCGGATCCAACGTCTCGAATGTCGTCATCATCATCGTTGAGGGAGTCATAGAGAGCAAGGACAGCTGAAAGGTGTTCTTCTTGAGCCCATGGTTGGCCCACCTCAATGATGGCAAAGAATGAGCAGAGGGACTCAACTGTAGCAAGACGAGTATCAAAATCCTAAAGAAGATTTAGTGGTCAAATACCGTGTATCAATAGCATTCCCCTTGACTCACCTTGTCATCCAGACCGGCGTCGGCCATCATATGTCCCCAGTTCTTGATTCCCTCCGGGGTGATAACCTGTGTTTTACTGAGGATGGCGATGACACAGCCACTGATTCTGATGACGGCGTTGGCAAGGGCTGGGTTGATAGAACTTAGTGGCAGGCTGCTCCAAATCTCCAGAAGCAGATCCGGTGAAACAAGGCTGATATTTCCACTCTTTAGAACCTGATCCAGGATCTCTGTGAGGTTCTGCAGAGCAATAACACGAGGCTCGACAGGTCCAATCTTGACACAAACATCGCGGTACAAGTTACAGAACTTGCTCACTTCTTGTTCCGAAAGGCGAGAAGTATTCCAAAGCTTAGGAATTGTCTCGAGACCAGCCACTATCGTGTTGACGCCCATAGTCTTGCTCAGGAGTAAGATGTTGAGGTCTTCGATGGGGCCACTGCCCTCAGCGATGGAGTGGACTTCGTGGATTACCCGCTGTGCCCTGAGTAGAGCCCCTTCTCGATTGTTGGAGGTAGGGAATTCAAATTGGATACGATCAATTGACCCGAGCCTGGGAAGAGCTCGTACAAGATTGGCGACTTCAAGGTACACGGCAGGAATTTCGGGTGAGTCCAAGGCTTGGATTTCGCGCCAGTACTCGATGAGAAATCCGGAGAGTTTGGGCATGTCGTCTGTATAGCATGTGTTAGCGGATTTTCTAATTCGTCGATACAGTCTTTCTCACGTTGCAATTGCTCAGGCATAACCTCGCTCAACCGATCAACGATATACTTTAGTGCCAACAGAACGCCATGAACATGATTCTGAACATTCCCGATTTGGGAGCGAACAGACTCGGCAGCAATACTGGTAATAGTATTGAGCCATTGAGCGTGCAGGAGACATGAGCACAGAGTTCGGGCTGCGATCTCACGGACGTGCCACACCGGGCTGGCTAAATACTTTGCGATATGTATTTGAAGCTCTTCACGAAGTACCTCAGGAGGACCAGCTCTTCGGATGATGTCAAGGGCTGGGAAGACTGACTCGGCCGCTGCTGAACTGGCAGCAATAGACGCCATCATCTGGTGGCCGGACTTCAGAAGGTGGAGAAGAGTCCTTGGAAGCGAAGGGTATCGGTGGTAGGCGATCCGGTTGGCTTTGCCATCCCATCCTGCTTCCATGAGAGCTTTGCTCTGGTGGGATCCAAAGAGACAGTCAATGAGACTTCGGAGGAGAATCAAGCCGCAGTTACGGATGGCCCATAGTTCAGACTTGAGGCCATTGGCTGCCAGCTCGAGACATTGCGGTAAGAATTTCTCAGACTTGTTTCCCATGGCTGTCAAGTAGGAGCTCTTGAAGATCTCCTTCAGGCAATTATAGGCATGGACCTGGGGTAGATTCGAACCGTCTGTCTCAGTGACGCGGGCTTCTTGGCTGGCGATCTCCATGAGCTTGGTCATGACTTGTTCAAATGAAGGATTAGACGCGTTGGCGGATAAGACGCCAGTCATCATGGCAGGGATACCGGCAGATCGCCGAGTGGTCGATACCTGAGCGTTGATCGCTTCTAAGGTGCCCTACTTTTTGTCAGTTCCCGACCTTCTATTCCATACCTTGGAGAGTATGTGTTTTTATAATGTAGAGAATCAACAGGTAAATAGTTAACTTACCGCATACCACTGCTCAAGAAGAGTGGTACCACCCTCAGCGCCGGCTTTAGCTTGGTCCAAGTGCTTAACAAGTTGGCAGCATGTAGAGAAAGTAAGGGCGACAGTCGTAAAAGCGCCGCGGTGTCTTAGACTGGCTAGTTGAGTAAAAGATAAATTCCCTATTCTCTCATAAGCTTCTTTTGAGGGGCAGATTCTGCCTTGCCGAGAGTGTTGCTTGATAGGGAGGATCATGATGCGCATAAGATTGCTACGATTTTTTAGTTGAAGGGATATTCGAAGTCATTTGTTGACTTACCTGGCTTCATGTATTGATCGGAAGCTATAGCTTAGCACATCTTTGGTATCAAGTCCATCAACCTCCTCTAGCTCCTGGGGCAGATGGCCTTCAGGCGAGTCATCACAGAGAATGTCGCGGACTGCTGCCCAGACTCTTTCGCAGCAGGTGACCAGAGTGTCCTGCAGAACCTGTACGGACTGTAACTCACTTTCAGAGAACTGAAGCTCTGACACCACCTGCCACATGTAGCACAGGGAAGCAAAATCACCGTGCAGCGGCGCATCCAGAACTGCTCTGCCGAGATCCTTCTCAGCGACTACTAGCCTCGCTTCCAGGCCTCCAATCAGCTTTGAAAGAAGTGCGACTCGATGTTGCTCATCTTCAGAGAACCGATACAGTAGCTGAGATACTCTAGCAACACCGTCTGAATGATCAGCTCGAGCAGTCTTGCGAGCAAGCTCTTCAGCCCGTCTCAGAAGTTCTGTGAGCTCTTCGTTAGGATTCAGTTTGCCTTGTCGGGCCATAAGGCGGAAGTTCCTGTACCGACTATCCGAGAAAATCCATCTGAGTACCGTAGCAGCATGGCTTCGAATGTCATCAAAGGGATCCATGATCAGGTCAGACAAAGCTCGGAGCCATGAACTGCCAAACCGATCGAAGAACAGTGTCTGGTCATCTGCAGTCTCCCATGTTTTGGACTTTTCTCCTTCCATTCGAAGAATGAAAGTGACAGCCTTGAGAGAAGCACTATGTCGTTGATAAGAAGCAGTGGGTGTTAACTCGCTACACAAGAAGCCAATGTACCAGAATAAGAACTTCTCGTGATATTCCAAGCAGTGCACCAGCTGAGTTTCGGGGAGAGATATAAGGTTGGTCCGATAAAGGATATGTTGCTCCTGGGCCTGGCCTGGCTGTTCCTTTTGCTTACGAGCGGCGGCTCTTGGGATGCTTTTCTTAAGCACAAAGATAGCACCTCTAACCCTTCTGAACATGTCTCGAACCTTTCCGGCTACTTCATTTCTGAACTTGGCATCTGAATCGGCAAAGTATGTGGCGAGATGCTTGCGGAGTAGGTCAAGGGCTGTGGATGAATATGGCCTTGTCGTTGATGGAGAGCTCATGAGTAGTGAAAGTGCGAGAGAGCGAACTTCGTGAGATGGGTGGGCCAAGACACTCTCTAGTACCTTCTCGTCGAGCACAATCGATGAATCGCTATCGGCAGATTTATCGTCGCCGAGTGCTGTTACAAATTAGCAGGTGCTAGGATATGTTCAGTTGGTACCTTACCTGGCTCTTCTACCAAGCCAACCTTCTTGCCGATCTCTAGGGCTGCCAGTTGCAGCAGAGCCGGGAGGTTGATATCTATCTCATGACCTGCAGAGACAGCCTCATGTTCATTCATTCTCTTCAAGAAACCCAGGGCTTCAGACTTATCCGCCTTGAACAGGGGTAGGAAGATATAGTTTTTGACTGATTCTAGGATGGATGGTTCCTCGTTTATGGCCTCAAGTAGCCATCTGTGCCAAGTCTCAATGCTCAACTGCCCTGAAATTTCTCGTTGGTCTTGGCTTCTAAGACCGCGGTACAAGCAGACAATAAATCTTCCTGCAGTAGGGCAGACAAAGTGAAGCGTCATCCAGTGGAACAACTCAAAAATAAAAGACTTCCAGACACCCAAATGGTTTGTTGATGTGTCCTTTTGTTGAAGAGTGACATAGCTGGACCGTATCTCATCCAGGGAAACAATGTCCTTGGTAAGGAGATGGTCCAATGCTTTTATAGCAGACTTAGCCAGGGGTTTAGATGACTTCCCAGTCATGATAGAGACAAGACTGTCCAAGATGGCAGATTTGGTACCTTGGCCAGCTTTCTCATCCGGATTTCTCCTGATAAGCTGAGGAAGCAGGTCAAGAACCAGTTTCATTGACCGATGGTTGTCTGACTCGTTCCATTCAACATAAAAATTGAAGAGTTTTATAGTAACATCCCTCGAATAGGCCCAAAATTTGAGACTCTGTGACTGCGATTTTGACGACTGCTCAACGAAACCGCAGAGTTTTACGCATGAGTTGCCTGAAACACCTCTTGGCTGAGAAGCACTTTCAAGGAGTCTTGTGAATATCGATTGGGCCCAACTACAGATGAAGCTTCTTTAGGATATTTACATGAAAGCGAACTCGGAAGATTTGCGCACCTTGACTGGTCTTCACTTGGCTGTTCCTCGACCCATTTTGAGATGTGATTCGAGTTGGCGATTAAGTCGTCAACTTGTTGAGCTGTGTCTTTCATCTTGATGGGTTCTGAAGAGCATAGACACGACACCTTATAGTTTCGACGTCGTATTTCAGACAAAGAGAATTCCCAAAGAAACTGACCAATACTCAACTTGGTTCATAAATCTCCCTCGCCTCGAAGCCGTCGTTAAAGCTTGATCTCTTCGACAACCTACTAGTAAGGTAAAGTGCCATAGGTTAGGTACCTTCGATAAATTGTCACGTGAAAGATCCCGTGAGAAAAATTTGCCCTTGAAGGCACCCCACCTTTTGCCGGGACGCACTTTCTAATTTTGCAGCAAAAATCGACTGCGCTCAGAATTTCTGATTCCCCAACTCAACTCGCCCTGACCACCATTAGATTATACAGCTATCTATTGGGAGACTGTCAAGATGTCGAAGATCACAGTCGGTACGATACATCCTGGAGGAGACTGAACTCGCACGAAGAATTACAGTCCAATAATAAACCACGACAAAAATGCTAACGGCGATGCAGCTAATGTCCGGACGCAAGTCGGAGAGCTCTTGGAGTACTCCAACGAGACCAAGAAGCGAAACTTCCTTGAGACCGTTGAGCTTCAGATCGGCCTGAAGAACTATGACCCTCAGCGTGACAAGCGTTTCTCTGGCACCATCCGCCTGCCCTCCATCCCCCGACCCAACATGTCCATCTGGTACGGCCGAAGAATCGACAGAGCGAAAAGAATTGGAGGCTAACAAACTGACAGCATTCTCGGTGACCAGCACGATATCGATCGTGCCAAGCACGGTGGTGTTGACGCCATGTCTGCCGATGACTTGAAGAAGCTCAACAAGAACAAGAAGCTCATCAAGAAGCTTGCCCGCAAGTACGACGCCTTCGTCGCTTCTGAGGCCCTCATCAAGCAGATTCCCCGTCTCTTGGGTCCTGGTCTGTCCAAGGCCGGCAAGTTCCCCACTCCCGTCTCTCACGCCGACGACCTGACTGGCCGCATCAACGAGGTCAAGTCCACCATCAAGTTCCAGCTCAAGAAGGTTCTCTGCATGGGTGTCGCCGTCGGCAACGTCGAGATGACCCAGGAGCAGCTCATCGCCAACATCATGCTGGCCATCAACTACCTCGTCTCTCTTCTCAAGAAGGGCTGGCAGAACGTTGGAAGCCTTACCATCAAGGCTTCCATGTCCCCCCCAAGCGCCTGTACTAAGCGTGTTTCTTTAGCCTCTGCCTGAGATGGCTCGGCAATCGTGTTCACTGAAATGTGGACTGCAGCTTAGAATAGGATGGCAGGAAAAATAAACACAATGAGACAAATGTGCTTGTTTGACGTGATTGTCAACTGAACCTATCAAATACTTGACGATTGTGTGCACTGGAAATGGTGGAGAATTTTCAGACTTCAAGTTCACCTATCGTTGTCTCCATCGCTAAGCTCAATGTTGTGTAGGGGAACATCATGAATGCTAGGATTACAACCTATCACTGTTTGCAAATTTACGGCACCTTGGGCCCTATAGGACTATCAGTGACGTGACTGCATTTCTTGAAGTCAACTCAATTTCCAGATCATTAACTGCGGGGAGATGTGAGCAGGGGTTCTTCCAAGCGAAGCGAATTGGTGGGAGAAAGGAATGACCTTTTTGAATGAAAGATAATTACAGCGACCAAAGGTGGAATCATGGAAACCGAATTTTTGATGACCTTGTCCCATAGAGCCGAAAAAATTGGATCGTCATTAATGATTTCTATTTCATTCGCGACAAAGAAAATTCGACAAACAATCATTGCCCCCCTTTTTCAATTTGGGCAGCTTTTTGTTACTCTCCAGGCGACGAGGCCCCGTCGCCCAATAACCCTGGCCAGGGTGTCCCAAACGCCGTCGTCGCCAAAATCCAGATCATCCAGGTTCAAGTGTTTCCTGTAACGCCATACCTCTCTAAATCGTAGCCCCTCCAAGCCCTTGTTGGGCAGGTAGGGATCTAACCATGTCGCTGATGCCGGGGCGATCAGATATGTACCATTCTTCTCCTTCAGATACTCCTGGTTTCGTCTGTCGGCGGGAGTGTCGCATGTGGCGAGTCCGTAGAGTTGTTCAAGTAACACCTCACCCTTGAGACCCATAACGTCTCGCGTGGTCAAGAACTCATTCTTGCCATTAAGAAGCCAGATTGGCGGTGTATATGTCTTCCACCAGATAGCTTGGGTGGCATCTGGTTGCTGACTCAAGAAGACTTGACCCGGCACCACACCTCCTTGATGGTAGATACCCATCAACGAGCCGAGGACGAGGTTAAACCCGATCCAAACTGTTGTAAAGACGTAGAGTATTGTTTGGTTTTGGGGCATGCGAATTGACGAAAGAAATAGTGGTACCGTGGGTAGCAAGAATCTCGCCTCCTGATGTTGAAACGCCGACAGTACCACCAAACCAGACACTGCCGACCAGAGTCGGATTGACAGTTTGGGTTTTGTTATCAACAAAGCTGCAGCTGGGCCCAGCAGCAACGGCAAATTCCCCACCAGATGCTGGTACCAAGGATGGAGGCCATGCTGCGCTAGATTCTCGGTTGCCGAGTTGTACTTGAAGTTGTTAAGAGGGGTGATTACAGGTTTATGGATCAGGTCGGTCCATGTGATGGGACCTGGCAGGTAAAATGCGGTGTCTAGACCGATTGCAATGACAGTTGTCACCGCTGCAGCTAACGTCAAGTATACGAGAGATGTAGGCCTGTGAAAGTTAGCTTGTTCATGCATTTCCGCGCCAAGCGCAAATAGGGTGACTCACCTCTTCCAGAACACAGGAAGCAGTCGAAGCCCAGGAACAACCAGAAATGCTGGAAATGTGATTCGATTGAATACACCGAATACTCCAACTATTCCAAGCACTGTAGCGGATAAAACACATGACCGCTGCTGTGTATCGAAGTTGAAGTCAGCTGATAGTCTTATCAGTGGTAATGGTGTGCAAGAACGAACCCGTGGATCAGCGACTCGCTGGATCAGAACAAGACTCCACGCAACAACAAGTGTCTCTACCGAGTTGGAGAACGTGTGCGTCTGATAGGTCCAGGTCACGTAGGACGAGGCGACAAGGAGGACGGCAACACGGCGATGCTTCGGTGACGGGATCAACTCATGCAAAGCCCAATCTTCAAGAACAAAGCTAATGACAAACATGAGCACGCGCAGAGTCCAGAAAACCGCAATAGGTGGGATCTCTCCGTCTTTGCCGTTACCAATCCAAAGCCACCGCAAGAGGAGCATGGGAAGACCGTAGACGGGCCATAGTGGGAAAACACTTCGGATAGGATTCTCGCTTGTAAATTCCCAAGTGTGTCGTACGGGATAGCTAAAAATTTGGCCTGTCGCGTATTAGCAGTTGGACTCGTAGTGGCAGTCTGCATAAACAGAGAGGGCATCAAAGTGCAACATCTGGACATGCATGGGTTTCTTGCTATGCGCCGTAGCAATATGAGAGCAACTAGGAGCTGGCACAGAGAGAAACATACCAGCTATGACTTCAGGCCCTTGGAAGTTCTCGTCCGGGTGTAAATAACTGGGTGATAACGCAAACCACAGCCTTATGAGGACGAGCGTGAGATATGTGCGTCGCCACATAGTTGGTCTTAGCAGCTGTGAATTGAGAGAGCAATCATGAGCTTAGTTCCAAGGGGAAAAGGCATCGAGGATCCGCATAAACAAAGGGCGAGGGCGAGCTCTTCGACTCGATGCGCTCCTATAGCTGGCGCACCAGTGTCGCAATCGCAAAGTGGGGGAAGCAGAGAAGAGTGTCGATATTTCGCCGGCCGCAGGAAATTCGAGCTTATTAGAGTATATCCGTATCGCTATGCGCCGCTGGTATGTACGTCGTTGCAAGAGCTTCGAGTCGCAGAGGTGGAAAGGGAAGATGGAAGGTTTACGAAGGTCTATTATTAGATCGACAAATATGCGAGGCAAGCCCTTAGGTCAGGAAAGAATTTATAGGAAGAGAAGGTACAAGGAACCAAAACAAGAATGGAAGAGGAAATGCGAGAATGATGTATGTATGAGTAGATGTAGGTGGTGTAGGTGAAGGTGAAGCAAGGTACCTTCTGGAGGTCAGGTTCCGTTTAAGTGAGTGACACCTACCCCCCCCACCAGAGGCAGAGAGATCCAAAAGGTACATTCGCCCACTGAGGTCAACTTACAGGGCATGAATGGATGGACTGGCTCAAGGCGAGGGCCACTTCATGGATCAAGGATCAACAACAAAATCTCATCAGGATTGATCAGCACAGAAGCTCGACTCGACTCGTCTCGAGGGCCCAAGCTACTAATGGACAGGGGCCAAGGGGAAATATTTCAAGCCCAGGGGGAGCGCCAGCTTACAACGTGGCCAGTGGGAGACGACGCCGTGATCCGGGATTGGCGGTACTAGCTGGATCCCAAGGCTAGGGGAAGGGACTGGCGACAATGATGAGGTGGGTGGGCATTTGGAAGAGGTCCACAGCGTCCGCTAGAAGCTTTTTTTAGGGGCTCGGGCTCCCTAGACTGACGGACGGGACAGGGGGAGGCGATTTCTGGGGGGTTGACAGACAGACGGGCAGGCCTCCTGAAGCCCCAATACAATGATATCATTCTGGTCGGGCTACTGTTGGATCCATTCATGCTTTGTTGTGATTAATATATCGTTGAGCGACTATGGCTGGAACAACTGATTTCTAGGGATACTCATATTCTTCTACATACAGGTAGGTACCTAGTATATCCCGAAACAAATCAAGGTACCACGGTAACCTAAACGCCAGGATGACAAGAGCTCCAATTCTAGGTAGGTATCCTGGCCAGCGCTAGGCCCATTGCAATCAAAGATCTAATCGTCGTGGCCGCTGATACGCCAGCTTCCAGCCACCAACTGGGACAATTACCATGACGATGGTAATCTTGGAATTGGATCGGATGGCAATTAGTGACAATTAATCAATGGCATGGCCTGTTTTTTCTCACAGGCCCTCCATGTCAACACGTGTTGGGTGGTGTCCCGTCTTCTACTCCCGTCCCGCGAATTGCTCAGCACCCACATAGGGCAAACAAAGTCGCATGATTCCAATGATATGTACCGTTGCAAGACAATATCCATGTATTGTTTTTGTGCCCTGCTGGCTATCGGGAGCGAGCTCGAGTACGGATACTGCCGCATGTCTGCAGAATGCCTTCAAGGGCTGTCAATCCGGGATTCGTGTACAATATCATCCTACTGATGAGTTGGAACCCTCATGTGCATTTGGGGGTTCCATCAAGTGTCGTTTATTTGGCGGGATGAGGGGAAAGGTGGGTTCAATGGCTCTGTTATGCATGCCACTAATGTCTTGAATGTGGTTTTATCTGTATATCAATGAGACATCACCGCCTTTGTTGTACGATATTGAGGGCAATATCAACATCCCACTTGCAATACCGCCTCTGTTCTTTGTGGTACTCCGCATGTCAAATCTGATGGCCTTGGCTGTTCATCACCGAAAGGACACGGACCGTATACATACACTGCCTGACCATGTTTGCGTTCACAGACAAGCAACGAACAGGGCAGACCAATCCAGCCCTTTCGGCACTGGAGATCGTTGAGAATCTTGCACGACCTTCTCATGATTTGTTGATCCACCTGAGCAACATGATCATGATTGTTCTCCTTTGCGGTATTCGACTCAACAAAACAAGCTTTCAGATGGCCAGACGCCACGAAGTTAAGGGGTAATAAGATTGATTTCAATGTGTAGCTGCTGTTGCACTGACGGTGTCTTGTAGCCATTTGCCAACTCTTCTCCCTGGCTAAGATTTGGGAATCATTTATGATGCGCCCGCTCGTGACCATTCCATACTTATCGCTGTCCTGTCTTTGTTATCTCAGGTTTGTTCATAACACTGATATATCCTGAGATGCCTTAGGGAGTAGCTTGATACGCCGTCCGTGCTATTGCTGACCGTGGACAAAAGGATGTAATGAGCTCGGCCACATATCTAGTATCTAAGAGCTCGGTGAAAGAAAGACAAAGAATCGATTTGGATGTTCTAGCATAATTCAGATGCGAGCGAGATCAGTGACTTATGCTAATGAGTGTCCATTCAAGTGGGTTATTCGAGGTTGAAATAAGTGTAGTTTGCATTGGATTGGATGCTTATATCTGGGCATTAATGCGCTCCAGAATAATGCCGTGAATGAAGTATATTTTTCCTTACTTTCTTTTCTGCATGTGTCTTTTGAATAATTTTTCAATAAATAGTTAGGTTTCATTGAAGCTTAATCAATATGTAGTATGCCAACCTACTTAGATGTGAACAAAGCATATGTTGGTGTGACAAGCAGTCTCTCGCACTTTAACCATAGTAAACCTTTAGATAAACACCTTCCTTTGTCCACTGACGGTGTTCGAGATCTCAAGTCTCGCCAATAGCAACTCGCTCGCATCTCGGAGGTTCGTGCCAACCATGACCTCTAACTTCAGGTTGCCGTCTGACTCTTTTGTGGTCTTTGAAGTTATTTCAGGTTCTCAAGGCAGCAGCAGCGCAGGTCCACTTCATTTACTGTAAACCTTGAGATTCATTGACATAAAAGGCTCGATTCCTCCCACCGAATTTGATTCCTCTACTCTCACAAACACAACACCTCTCAAACAGCTAAAGCAAACCTAGCACATCACCAGTGTCAAGTTCATTTCTTCATACTCTTCCGAATTCATTACTCTCCATCACCACCATCAACCCGCTTATCTTATCTGACTAAGCCCCATCTAAAAGAAAGGGTCCTCGAGTCTGCTTCACTGCCCTGTCTCAAGGTCCGTACGCGCTCACGTCGCTGGTTGAAGCACAAGGCACCCACCTCCTCCACTCACCTCAGCCTACCTTACCCCGCCACAGTGATTGGTTTATTGGTCGGTTGGTTCCCTAGCCTCTGCTACCTACCTTACCTAGCTGACTCCTCCAACTTCCATCGTCACCCAAAAACAATCACGAATCCTCTCTTCACTTTCTCTCCGCAACCGCCGAATCTCTCACTCACATCACCAGATATTCTAGCACGAACCACAAACATACTCAAAATGTCCGAATCTACCTCTACACAGAAGGTCTGGCTGGCCTCCAATGACAGCGCCACCATTGAAGTCGGTAAGTTGGAGCCACTCTGCGACCGTCTTGCTCATATTTCTAACAATCATCAACAGATCGCGTTGTTGCCGAACGATCCATGTTGATCAAGAACATGTTGGAAGACATTGGTGACGAGGGCATCAATGCTGAAAACCCTATTCCTATCCCCAACGTAAGTGCTTCCATCAATACTTGACCTTTTCACGTCTGACATATCATTATTTAGGTCAACGAGGCCGTTCTTCGCAAGGTGATTGAGTGGTGCGACCACCACCGTAACGACCCTCTCCAGGCGCAGGACGATGATTCCGACGCCCGCAAGAAGACCACTGATATCGAGGAGTGGGATCAAAAATTCATGCAAGTCGACCAGGAGATGTTGTTTGAAATCATCCTTGTACGTTCATCCATTTCCTATTTACAAAAATGATCGGAAAACTAACACATCATGACAGGCATCCAACTACCTTGACATCAAGCCTCTCCTTGATGTCGGCTGCAAGACTGTTGCAAACATGATCAAGGGCAAGTCTCCCGAAGAGATCCGCAAAACTTTCAACATTACGAACGACTTCACTCCCGAGGAGGAGGAGCAGATCCGCCGTGAGAATGAGTGGGCTGAGGATCGTTAAGCTCGCGTTTGTGCACGATCAGGGACGGAAGTTGGGGATATGTACATGTCGGACTGTGGCATTGATCGATCCTTGGGTCATGGACCGCAGGAACCTTTCCTGTCGAGCCTTCTCAACACTGGATCATATGAATCTTTATGAGTCACAGGGGTCGCATTAGGCGTTAAAGTTTGCTTTTCCAGGTTGCTTGGGCCAGTATTTTGGCACGCGGGGAGCACAAATAGGATTGCTCATGGTAACATGGTATTGTCCGAGGCAGGCTCTCTACACGATGTAGCTCGTGAGGCAGTATTTGAACATGGGTTTCAAATCCTTCCCTTGAACGCGCCGGTAGGAAGTCACTTCGACTTAGCTTAGGTCTTCAATTCATGATTGCCCTTAAACCTGGGGTTATCAAGACGTTCAGTTACGCAGTGATCAGCTCGAGGTATATGATAAATACGTTGGGTGAAAGTGAAGTTTGGGGCGTGATTTGTTAATTTGACTACTTGAAGACTTGCATAACAGCATACAGTCTGCTGCTCAAAAAGACAGCACACAAGAGCAAACATTTGCGTTGTCGTCGTTCACAGGCGAGGTGGACTGCATCCATGTAGTTCAGGCCCGTTTTCTTTTTTGGGGCATCAAAGTCTTTGCATTCCTTTTTCCCTATGACCGTCCGTGACATGCAGTAACCGCAATAATGGATAAACCAGGCAACCTGCCCATCGCCCCCGTGTGCACGCGCAGTGCAGACACGGCCCCGTAGTTCAGTTCGCGCCATAACAAGATCATTCCTCCCCTTTTCCGTTCACATCAATCATCGTGATACCATGCCCAAGAGAGAAAAGTCGGGTGCTGGGCTCGGGGGCGGACAACAGTTGAGGAACATTGGTTTAGATACCGATGCGGGTCTTGCGCCAGTGCCTTCGCTTAGCGTTGTAGCTGGTCAGAAATGTTAGTCTAAGGGTTCTCTGCTCGCGGGCGGACTGGTAGAGTCGTGAAATCGTCGTCTCGAAGGGGGATCAAACGCACCGGATGGTGTTGCCAGTTCGGAGGCGAATCCACTGAGGCACAGGGCGGTTCTGCTTCTGGGCCTTGGCAAGCTTCTGCTTGGTTCGGAAAGACTTGTGGCTCTGTGTGAAAAGAAAAGGTTAGCCATCCGGTGTCATGGGAGTAGAACCCTCGAGATCGCGACTCATTCATCATCGACGGCGAGGCGGCGAGAATATGTTTATTCGATGCAGAATTCCATCGTCGATGATGAAGAGAGCGAGAGCGTGCTGTCGAGGGCGATAGTTAGGGGCTGTCATACCGGCATGGTGACGGCGTTGATGGTCGAGTCGGTCAGTCGTTGCCAAATGGTGATAGAGTATCGAAATGCACTGCACTTGTTTCTAGGAATTTCGCTTCTAGGGTTTTCACCCTCGATTGTGTGGGTGGCAGATTAGTGGGGCGCGATCTTGGTGCCTGAGGTTACAATGTGGAGATGGATGATTGCTGGTTGTTGAGTGCTGAGGTAAGCACTTTTGACCGCGGCTCGTGACTCTTGTCAGATGGAGCTCATGACAAAATTAGCTCTGAAGGGTATCAAGGCAGGCAGTGACTCGTTCAAGTAAGTAAGATCTTGTGAGTTGTCCACATGAGAAAGTTATTGAATTTTGTATCTTTTATGAAAAACATGATAATAACCAATCAACCGATCTGGCTGATGTACAATTCTTGACGTACATGAGGCTGTACAGATAATGGTCCTTAAATAAACGCCTAGGTATTAATGAGAACGCCTCTGTCTCAGGAGATTCTAGAGAACAAGACGTTGTAAATTCCAAGCAGAGCATCTGCTAGATCCAAGGGGGGTCACTATATATTGGAGTGGCTTGACGGAACATCGGCTGATAGGTAAGGCATATTGATTATAAGGCTTATTACTCTATCAATTTGAAGTTCGATCAAGGATGACTATAGAGACTTGAAGGCCAGATACTGCCATATATCAACATCATCATGGGTACCCGGTGAATGGCTTACACCACAACCACAGTCAAGAGACTCTTGTCTTGCAGGGGTTCAAGGCTGAGGTGGTCCCGGGTTATTTTGTCAGGCGCTTGGACCAACCCAATGCCGCCAAAAAGAGCAACTTGTCCATGAGAGGCCCAGATGCATTAACTTAAAGGTCCAGAAAAGGGGATCTCTAAATTACGTATCCCGTACTTTCTACTCACTGACTAAACACAAGTTGCATTTGTTGCCACGAGACACGACAAACGATAAACAAGCTTAACCCGTGTCCGGCACTTGACAGCCTAAAACGCCTCTTTTACATCATCCTCTCCTCTGTCCAGGCGCCAGTGCGAGACGATACCTATCTAAACGATCCGAGTCGCAGAGCAGAACCAGTAGCAGCACAAGATACATAGGAGCATCGAAGACGTCGCAAGTTGTTCATCATGGGAAACTCAATGTCATGGTTCTCCAACCTACTGTTCGCGAAAAAGGAGATCAGAATATTGATTCTCGGTCTGGTAGGATGACGTCTATCCGACTATCTTCAGGCCCGAGACGCTAACAAGGCGGCCTCATAGGATAACGCTGGAAAGACAACATTGCTGTACCGACTCAAGGTTCGAATTTTCTGATCTATGCGCGCATGATACATGCTAACCGGCGCTCAAGGTTGGCGAGGTTGTCACAACGATACCTACAATTGGCTTCAATGTCGAATCTGTCACATATAAGAACCTAAACTTTAACGTCTGGGTACGGTCTCGACTTCTTCCGATCTCGAAACGGGCCAGAAATACTAATACGGGGGACTGCAGGATCTCGGCGGCCAAACAAGCATCCGACCTTACTGGCGGTGCTACTATGCCAACACAGCAGCCGTCATCTTCGTCGTGGACTCGACCGATATCGAGCGATTACACACCGCTTCAGAGGAGCTCTCAGCCATGCTGAACGAGGAGGAACTCAAGGATGCGGCCCTGCTGGTCTTTGCCAACAAGCAGGATCAACCCGGCGCCAAGGGCGCAGGCGAGATTTCGGAGGCCCTGCGTCTGGGTGAGCTCCGCGACCGCAACTGGAGTATCATGGCCTGCTCGGCGGTTGATGGTAGCGGTGTGAATGAGGGCATGGATTGGCTTGTGGTGAGTTCTGCTATATTTCCGCACAACTGTTGCAGTGCTAATAGCTGCGTTTCCAGCAAACTGTCAACCAGGACTAGGCCCGATGACGATTTCTTCTTCAGCCCCGGTTTGGCATTGTACAACAGACGAAATGAAATTATAGCACCACCTCCTGGTTCCGTCACACCTTGGTAGACAGCGCCCATAAGGGACAAGGGAAAGAAACGGATGGAGCAGATATCGGCGTCTTGGAAGAGAGAAGGTTTTTTTACTAAGAGATGAAAGGAATGAACAGCATGGGTGCGTTTCTTGGGGGAGGATACATGATAGTATAACTTTATAATGCTACAATCCGGGTCCGATTGAGTCCTGGCTATGATTCTCATGGATTTCTTGTTGCTAAACTTTGGTCCTGACATGAAATGCAAGCGATATAATAGCTAGTGACTGGTAAGGTAAGACAGTCATTGTAGAGGATACTGGCTACTCGAATAGTCTAGTCCAGTGTCTTGGGAAGTGCTAGGTTTTCAAAAAGCTGACTTTGACACTTCTAACCTGGTGAGTCGGACTTATACCAGAGTTATCCTTCTGACCAGCTCAAAGAAAACTCTTCATTTTGAACTACTGATGAATATTCTACGTCATCCCATCTCCGAGATATCCTTCTTGCTATGGAGCTTCCACTGATAGCTACTTGCTAGAGAGTAGTGGTTCTGAAGAATTGGGGTTGGTACCTGACGTGCCTGGGCAGCTCTAAGTGGCTCACCGAGGAGGTTTTCAACCTCAATGTACTGTTCCTGGGGGAGTGTCAGCACGGTGTCGACGCCTGAAAAAGAAAGAAAGAAGGGGAAGGTACTGATAGCATACGGGCCATGGAGGTAGGGTGAGATTGTAGGGGTGAGTTGAAAGCGGGAAACCATGAGCTGCTGAGTAGACATAGAATGAGTTCACTTACCTTTCTAACATCTATCAACATACTTGGCGACACATGAGCGTCAATAGGTTCGGTCACAATTGTTGCCTCTATCATCTCGTCTGTAAGCTCCTGTCCATAAGCTGCAGCTGCAGCTTGTATTTCTTTCATGCCAGGCCGTATAACCTCGTCGACGAGGCCAGGACAAAGCTGCATGTCACCAGTGTCTAGTCTTGTCAGAGCACCAACTGGATTGTAAACGGCATTATAGAGAAGCTTCTTCCATCGAGAGGAGGTGACGTTATCATCATAGTGGCAAGTGCAGCGTCCCCCAGCATTGAAGCGAGCTACAAGATCCTTTGCTCGCTCGGCAGCGTTGCCAAAGTCTTCAAAGGGGCCGATACGCAGCTCATCGTGCAGATTGTGCTCGATAGTGCCAGGTTCAGGCTCTGAGGAACCACACATGCTGATACCAGAAAGAATGACATTATCTGAGAATGCTTCTTGGACAGGAACTTGAATGTTAAGTCCATTCTGAAGGAGTACTATGGTGGTGTATCCGGGAGTAACGGCAGGGCGTATAAGATCAGCCACAGGCGGAGAGATAACTGGTATGTTTTTGGTGGCACAGACAATGTAGTCAAAGGGCGAGATGCCGGACTCGGAGACATCAGGAATAGATGGTAGGACTATATCAAGATTAGTTGAGGATGGAGTGAGATTCGAAGTAACTTACTCTCAGTTGGCATAAAGCCACGGATTTGACCATGATCAACGGAATTAATGGTGAATCCTCGCTCTTTGACTATTTGATAGCTTGAGCGCAACACAGCTGTAACCTGAGCTCTGCCTCCAAACTCAAGATTGAGGGCTGCTATACAGCCAATGCCCCCACAGCCGACGAGTAGAATTCTTGCCTTATCCATTGTGACTCTTTGATGTTGTTATCAATACTGAAAGAAAAGTTCAACTCAAGTTATCATGGTTGTTGAGAGGGCGCACACGCTGTATGCGGGGCCGGCTACAGACCGGTATCTAAGACATTTGCCATGATTGGGCAGCTACACGAAACAGAGACAAGAATAGTAATAAGCAACAATATGTAGTTAAAGTTTAATATAATATAGCTGAGATAAGTTCTATTTGCAGAGCACTTAAAGAATATCCGATTGAGCGGTTCTCCAGATTGTGTGCCTGTGTCTGTGGAACCTTGACATGGGATTCGATTCTTTTGTCTTGCTCGGTTGATTGTGATCCTTGTGACGTCGAATATGCTTTTCCTCTCGCAAACTAAGCCTTGAGAGGACAACTATCACAAGACTTGTTACTATTACCGAGGATCTCTTTGTTCAATATAAGTTTGCTCTCACACCACCTTTCCCCTTTTGGAGCTTCCCCTCCCTTTTCTATAGGGGAATGTCGGTTTATGGTTGTTAGTTGATACCTCTGGTTAGGCTCTACCCCAGCTCACCCAATGCCCCCCGGTCCCGCATCACCTAAACTAGTCCCCGAGTGGCACGCGCCAGACGTTCTCTCTTCAACTGCTGGTCTCATACGTACATAAGTTAATAAATGTCTTGGTCTTGTGTGAAGCGAATGTGAGACAGAATCGTCTCAAACTCTCCCCTCGTCCAACTGCTTCCCTCATTTTGACCATTATCATATCATGACCGTTCCACAACCGATTTCTCCTCTTCCTCAGGCTCCTATTGCCACAGCTTTACCGGATGCTCCACCAAACGACTTCTTCTCTCCTATTCAATGGGACGTCTTCTTTGCACTTGTCGACGGTGTCTTGCCCTCAATCGCCTCAGAGTCTGATGTGACCGACCAACAGGGTCAGATTCAACTTCCCAACCATGAAGTTGATGCTGTCCTCGATCGCAGTGTCGAGGCTCTGGCAGCCCCAGCCACTAGAGACAATATCCGTGCCTTTCTCCGGGATAGGCCTGTCAATGATGCTCGCTTTAGAGACAACCTCATGAGGACCTTGGCCATCTCCCCGCCCGACCAACTCAAACGCCTTGCCAGTTTATTGAGCTTGATGTCGTGAGTACAACTAGATGGGCCATGTTTCCAATTTCTTCACGTCACTAAATCATTTTCAAGCACCCGTCCTGGTAGCTATTTCATCACCGGCTACTGGCAGCCCATATACAACCAGCCTGCCCACGTTCGTGAAGCCATCCTCAAATCATGGGCCACATCTCCCAAAGAGCGCTGGTCCGCTCTGGCCAAAACGATGTCTGCCATGTCTTTCAAGGCATATTCTCAGACCAGCTCGGCTCTCTATCAGCTTTCGGGCTACTCAGACACCCCCAAGGACTGGCAACCAAGGGAAACCTTCGACTATGACTTTCTCCAGATCGAAGCGGGCGACGACGCGCACACCATCGAGACCGACGTTGTCATTATCGGTTCTGGCTGCGGCGGAGGCGTTTCTGCCAAGAACCTAGCAGAAGCTGGTCACAAAGTCATCGTCGTGGATAAAGCCTATCACTATCCTTCCACACACCTCCCCATGGCTCAGGATGCCGCCTGCGCCCATCTCTACGATAACGCAGGCTTCTTTATGACGGAAGACTCTGGTTGTACTGTCACTTCTGGCAGTGCATGGGGTGGGGGAGGTACCGTCAACTGGAGCGTATGTCTCAAGCCTCAAGACTTTGTGCGAGAGGAATGGGCGGATGAAGGCCTTCCTTTCTTCACATCCACAGATTTCGACGAGTGTCTAGACCGTGTGTGGGAGTTTCAAGGGGCTGGCACTGACCAGGTACGCCACAATCACCGAAACAGAGTCCTTCTCAATGGCTCAAGCAAGCTCGGCTGGACGGCACGCCCAGCTCCTGTCAACACGGGAGGGAGGGAGCACTTCTGCGGCCAATGTCACCTTGGGTGTGGTCTGGCCGAAAAGCGAGGGCCAGCTGTGAGCTGGTTACCGGATGCTGCGAGAGCCGGCGCTCAGTTCATGGAAGGATTTCAGGTTGACAAGATCCTGTTTGATTATGATGGGCAGACTGCCATTGGCATCGAGGGAGAATGGGTGTCGAGAGATAGTGCAGGAGGCGTGAGTAATTCGATCGATAGAATCAAGAGACGGGTCATAGTCAGGGCCAAGAAGGTGATCCTTGCAGCCGGCTCATTATGGAGCCCGATCGTCCTCAAGAACAGCGGTATTACTGTGCGTGTCCCCATCAGCAGTGAATCGAGTTTATTGGCTAACTCATCTAGAATCCAAATGTGGGAGCTAATTTGCACCTTCATCCTTGCAACTTCGTCACAGCAGTATGGAAGGAAGAAACGATACCGTGGGAGGGAGGTATTATCACCAGCTACTGTCCCCAGTTTGACAACGTCGACGGTAGTGGCCACGGAACGAAGCTGGAGACTACCTGCATGGTGGTGAGTAGCAAACCCAGCACTGTCGTCGAATCATTTTAACTCGTCATAGCCATTCACGATCCTGTCGCAGCCGTCATGGACCAGCGGCTTAGATGCAAAACTTCATATGGCAAAGCTGCGTCACATGAACGCCTGGATATCGTTGACCAGAGACCGTGACGCAGGCAACGTCTTTCCAGACCCCACGACGGGTCGACCTCGCATTGACTATACTCCCTCGGACTATGATCGAGCCCATACTATCCAGGGAGTAGAGGCTCTGGCCAAGATCTGCTATGTCACAGGAGCAGTCGAGATACGCCCTCTTCTCAAGGGTCTGGAGCCCTTTGTCCGCAGGGGAGAGACGTCGTCGGAGCATTCCCTCGACTCCAAAGGCTCAGTGGCCGATCCAGAGATCACTGACCCAGCCTTTGCCGCCTGGCTCGGCCGCGTCCGCGAAGTGGGCAACAAACCACCAACAGCCCCTTGGAGCTCAGCCCATCAGATGGGCACGTGCCGTATGAGCGCGAGCAGCGACGAGGGCGTGGTTGACGAGAAGGGAAGGGTCTGGGGCACGGATAACCTGTACGTTGCAGATGGAAGCGTGTTTCCCAGCGCCAGTGGCGTGAATCCCATGATCACCATCATGGCCATTGCGGATTGGATATCACGCGGCGTGGACGCAGACCTGAGGGCGTGAGGGATAGTGATTGTGATATGACGAGGGAGGATAAGCGATATAGCTGTAGCTGTATCTGTGTGTAATGTTATGGTCATCCTATCAACGACTGGACGTTATCTCTCGAGGGACATGCAAGGGGTTTGATAGAGCCATGGCCGACGGTACAGTACAATACCTAGGCTGGTCTTCGAGTCTGCATTAGTTAACGTGCCCCTGACCACCGCATTTCCTAGCAACGAAGTGCCATTAACTCGTAAACCAGAGACTGATGCAGGCATTGCTTCCATCGGCAATTTTTGGATTCGTTGGTCTGCTCCACGCATAGACTGGGAGTCATTTCATGTCCGAAACATATCCCACTTGAATATCACCGGGACATTCTTCCAGGGATGCAACGAGTCTTGAGCCACGGTCATGTCATGTGGCCAACGTACGTATAGGCAACGAGCTATGGGTGTAAGTCAAGTGAGTGTACAGTAAAAGTGAGGCAAAACACCTTCGCTTAGACTATTTGCATCGGTCTTAGATCCTTGGATATAGGGTATCAGCATACTAACTTTGGTTGGTGATTTGAAAACTAGGCAACTCTCATACCAGCAGACCTTGGAAAAGTAACCATCGGCGTTTCAAAAGCTCTAGTCCGTACCCAAAGGAGTGGTCGCCGGTGCCACGTCTTGCATGGGGCTTCAAGTGAGGCTCTCAACGGTCTTGGAGTTCTCGGTAGTACCGGTAGCGTAGGCCTCCTGCCTCTTGAGAGGATAAGGCTCCAGGGCGGGGAACGGCACGGCACAAGCGAGCACAGCCACCCGGAGATGTGCAAGCCACGTCCGAGTTTAATCCACTGCCGGGCCAGGATCAGCGGCATTAGTGAGTGAGTTGTGCTCAGCTGTTCAAGGAACAATTAACAAGCCATGTCACTGTCACTGTCATGTTTGTGAGTCAAAATGACACTCTGAAGATTAGATGTGAGATTGACTCAGACATCGACGTCATGTTTGAATCAATGGCTACCATCTCGTTGTAATTTCCAACACTCAAGTGACAGGCAGGGGTATTTGAGGTTGGAATTTTCATAGCAGCTGGGTGTGGTTTACAGAATTTACAGGGTCTCAGGATGCAATAATACAAATCTAATTGTGTCTACACAGCTACTAATTGTAGATCACTCTGAGTATCGATTTACATGTCCTAGTCTTTTGGTACTATTTCAATATCACTTCAGCCCTGTCTAGCCACTGAACCTAAGTTCTACGACAGCCACAAATAGTAGCCTGGGAGTGTCTGTAGCATTAGTGACAAGTATTCAAATTTCAATCATGTCGTGCTGTGCTTTCCGTCAGGCATGCTGTCAAATCTGTTTGCGAATACTATCTCGTTGACTAACAAAGTCGGTAAAGGAAAAAGCGGGCCAATCTCTCAATCTTTAAAAGCTCATGCCGGGCGCATTTCCTAACTGGGATCGATATCCATGATATTTCAGCCACACTCCGGACTTGTCCGTAAAGTGGCCCGTCGGCTTAAGTGGACCCTTTTCGCCGCCTTCGGGTCCGCGCCGCTCCGGCCACTCAATGCTAACAAACCCATCAAAAATCATCATTGATATTCGAGTTTTGAATTTCACGTTATTTTTGGCAGCATTGATCTACATTGACAGCAGTGGACCAAGGCTAGTAGTACGGAAATATCAATTCTAAGAAAGTTTATTTTGGGCCCACGTAGTCGTTGTAGCTTGGCATTTCTCCTACCCTAGAAACACGGATGATGAAGGTAATACCCTTTCAAAACCAGATAGCTATGGCCACAATTGTGAGGGTGAAGGACATGGCCGCATGGTGTGTTGCAGGACTACGTTCCGGCTGATCAGGTAGCTAATCAAGCCATTGAGCAGATCACTGGGCGTACATACGGCCTACGACACATCCTGTGGTGAGTGGTATCGGATCATGCATGGAACTTACCAACTCGAAATGCCCTGTATCTAAGCAAAACCATATAGCGAGCCGTGTTATGTGAATCCCGTGACTATCCAGCGACGTCACCGCGGCATGACAGTTTCCGAGGGCGGCTACAGACGTTGTGAAACCTGGGGTTCTAGCAGTCACACGCTACTACGATGATACTGTACCGTATATAGTCCATGAAACAAAATGCGACGTGACTTTTCCATGTGACTCATGACGAAGACGGGAGAAAAATCCTGCGGGCTAATAGTGAGCGGCCATATCTGAAAAAC